AAAAAAAAGCTGTTAAAATTTTTGTATACTAATCAAAGTAAACCAATACATCAGTTGTTATAAATATATATCGTTATAAATATTACCCCCACACACATACACTCCACAAAAAAAAATCCTGGGTCCTTCGCTCTACAAAACCATTACCGGTAATACATGGCATGTGATATTATAGCACTACTTGGTTTCTGCTGTTGTATTCACAACGCCATGCCTGTCAAATTGTCCGCCAGGTTTCAACGTTATTGAACCAACAACCAATAGGCTGATTCTATTCTGTCGTTTACTCGTTCACTCTGGCGGCGTCGGTTTCGTTTGTGTGTGTGTGAGTGACTGGAACCGCCGCGTAGGTGTGCGCAGGTTGTGGGAGCGGGAGGGGCGTTGCTGTGCAGATGAGTTGGGCGTAGGTTGAGTAGTGTGCGTTTGTATGTAGCTATGGCAGTTAACAAGTATTTCGTATTTGTTACTTATATATCATGGCTTTCATCTGTTCACGCAGGTTCGTATATATGCATGAATGTAACACGACATATTATTGTTTATTGGTTTTGTAAGAAACAATCTTATTTTACTTCAACATGGCGAGATGTTATTGATGTAACAATCTCTGTGGAAAACAAAAATTCGACTTGCATTATTAGATTGCCTCATTTGGATTATCTAATTTGTTTTGAATTGATTGTAAAATATGCAGTACAGACCTTGCATCTTAAAGGTTTTGTGAATAAGAACAGGAAACGCGTGTCTCCCGTCTTATAACCAATGACTCATTAACTCTACTACTTCTTTCCCACAGATTATTATTATGAATGTAATGAACCACTTTTGGATAGTGCGGATTTCAAAGCTACATCTTCACTTCCGGAGCGTGGTCCACAAAACGCCAGATTAAATGGTACGTGTTGAATTATTACAATTTCAATGACCTATGCATGGGCCGTAAAATTCTTCTGATATTGTAGAATAAATTTTAGCGATTCGACTATTTAAGACATTTTCTTAATATTAATTTCAATTCTTGTTTATGATTATTGAGTTGTGCCATGGTGAACAATTGCCTAGTTATTTGTTAGAAAAAAATGCTTAATTCTTTACATTTTCACCACTGCTGTAGTAGTTGATTGCTCTTTGTTTTCAGGGGGGGTACTTTTAGTGTGTTTGAAAATTTGTTGTAATGATGTGGTTGGAATTATATGTTGCAATAATGAAGTATGATTTAATTAAACACGCATTTGTAGTAGTAAATCTGTTATTGTCTAATTACAAAAGTATGTGACTGGCATTTACATGATGTCAAAATAATTCCCCAGAAATACCTATTGCAGATGTGGGTCTCAGGAAGTTGACAAATGGAATGATGTAATATCAATCATATAATTGTTTTAATGGTTTAATATGTAGTTTTTGGAGTGCATAAAATGACAGCAATTATATTACAAATATTGTACAACTTGTAAAATATTTAAGTGAATTGAAAGTGGAAAATGGTAGTTTGAAGTCATATTGTTTTCCTCCGTAATTGGTAGTCCTATATTTGTTGTTAAAACCAGAGGTTCTGAAACTGGGAAGAGTTTCCAGCAATATGCAGCAGTTTTGGTGAAGGGTGTGTAAACACTTCAATGGAAGATTTGAACTAGACATTAATAACATACTTAAAAAGTTTATATTTTATTGCACATTATTGTAATTACTTACTTTGGGAACTTTAAATATGCTCTTCAGTAATAAACAAACTAACAATTTAGTAGGATAATATTTAAAATCTTCCATTCGAATTCCTAACTTAGTATTATAAACTTTTCATACTATGTTGAGGAAGAATCTTTAAAAAGTTTGAAATCCCCTGGTTGAAGAAATTTTTGTCGCTGTAGTCAGCTGAAGAATGGAAATCTCTGAAACGAGATAACTGGTAGAAACTAAATTATAAGCTTGATTTAATATCTTTTATGTATCAATTGTAAAGTAAATATAAACATTATCTTGTCATGGTGATTTTAACATTGTTTCTTTGTCACCCTCTCTTTCTTTAATCTGTGTACATATAATAGAGAAACATAGGTAATTGTCCAATAAACTACACTTGTGAATGTTATTGTGGTTCTTTTTTGTTTTTTTCCTCTTTTTCTTTTCTTTTTTCTTTCTCCCAAAATGCAAGTTTCTTAACAAAACTTGCTTGTAAAAATATTGAAGATTGTTTCCAAAATTAACATTTCTGATATTGATTTGGTTTAATTTGAGACCCTTTGAATTTGTAATAGGCTTTTTAATTTTGGAGAATACACAAGACATTTTCTACAGACAAAAAACTGTTCAAGACCAAAGCAGTTCACTTACAATGTGTTATTGTCTTTTGTGCAAAATGTTTGTTTCCTTCAGAATTTTTTATCTGCTGTCTTTGCTTTTCAAACACAGCTTTTTGTTTCACATTGAGCAACTATATTGAGTGATGCAATGTTAGAAAATTTCTGCCTTTGACTAGACTTGCCATTAGATACAATAGAAGGCAAAATATCTATTCAATTCTAAAAAACTGAACTTTTACTTGGAAATCTGCCTTTTTATGTAGGTTTCTTTCATGAAAGTATTGAAAGCAGGTCAATTTTCAAACTGGGAGTCCAAATTTTACAACTTTTGAGAGGCACTGAACTAATGAAGTTAGGTGCCTTTCTTCATTTTGAAAGTTGAAATGTTTATCTACTGCCTCTGCTCTTCATCCTGTGACCATATTGTATTGTTTAAGTTTAATATGTATTTCCCATTTTCTCATTTGTTTAATAATTTATAAAATGCCTCTAATTGTTTTCCTTGATAAATATAATGATCAAGAAGTCTGGTATTCAGTAAGCTAATATTTCCTTATTCATTAGTATGTTGTAATAAGTGAGAAATACTTACTTTTTGTACCTGGTGTTTTTAAAAAATTTGAATTCAAAATACCTAATTTACGTAAGTTATGAATTATAGTTATGGAAGAATGTGGATTCTACTTGTGCGTGTATATATAAAATGTCTCCTGTTAAATTGTGTATTCTTTGTTCAGTGAACTCTTGGGAAAGTGATATTACAAATAAGGCCAATGAAGGGGTTTACTTAACTTGTTTTATTTACATAGGAAAACAAAGAATAGAATAACAGTATGATGTACTCGTTTTAAAATCTTCAATTCAAATTAACAAATTTGCACTGCTTTGAAGTGATTAAATGGGTTCTCTTTGCTCTAGGTGGTGGCAGCACACCTTCAGGAGGGTGCAGTGCTTTGTAGAAGAACTAGAGTTGTTGTTTGTTTTTTTTACTCTGTAATAACACACAAGGAACTTTAACTTTGAACTCTTTTTTTGTTTTAATGAAAGTGTGTTTATTTTTTTTCAAAAGGTATTTTAAAACTAGATATTGAAGAAAGGAGTATGTTGTCTGTAGTAGGGACCAAAAATTTAAGTGCCCGATGGGCATTCAATTTTAGTGCTTGGCATCCAACAGAATCTCAGCTTCTTCTTGCAACATCATGTTTGCAACCTGAAGAAAAAGAAAGAATTGGAAGATTTGTGTACAAGAAAGATGCAAAAGCATCTTTAATAGGTAGACTTTTTCTTCGAAAATATGTAGGAGATTTAGTTGGAGATTACTCATCTGTGAAATTTGAGAGGGATGAGAAAGGAAAACCATATTTGATTGATAAATCTTTACAGGATTCATTAAGCTTCAATGTATCTCATCAAGGCAATTTCACAGTTCTTGCTGGAGAAGTGGGAAAACTTGTGGGAGTAGATGTTATGAAAATTGAATATAGTGGAGGGAGAAGTTTATCAGACTTTTTCCGGTTGATGACTCGTCATTTTTCTCCTGAAGAATGGGTTACAATAAAGGGTTATTATGGAACTTCAGAAAGGGAGAAACTAGCGATGTTTTGCAGACATTGGTGCTTAAAAGAGAGCTATGTGAAAGCCATTGGTTCAGGGATTACAGTAGATCTCCAGAAAATTAGTTTTAGAATTCACACACGAATGCTGTCAGCCAATGCTGTAGTGGCTGATACAAAATTGTTTGTGGATGGAAATGAGAAATCTGAATGGCATTTTGAAGAAATGCTACTAGATTCTGAGCATTGTGTTTCAGTTGCATGGAAAGATGTTCTTCCAAAATCATCTGCATCTATTCAGCCTACTTTTCAATTTCTGAGTTTTGAGGATTTGGTGCAGAATTGTGAATCTATTTCTTCCCCTGACTTAGTCTATTGTAGAAACTTCTTAGAAAAAGAGGAAAAGCCATCTTAAGGATGTAATTGTGCATAGCATATGGAATCCAGTATATGCTTTATGCATAGGCATTGATTCACAAGTCTTTGTAAAATTAAAATTATTATTCATTGTTCTAGTGGATAACTAATTATTTATTTCACTAATGATATTTAAAACATCTTTTCTTTTTTACTTGAAGCAAGTGCATTTTTCCTGTTCAAAACTTACCATTGAAATAATGAATTCTAAGAAAGTGTATATTAATTTTTATACCAACAAATGCACATTCATTCTGTCTCTTAGTGCTTTTGGAATATGAGATTGTGCACATTTTTATGTTTCTATTGAAGTGAATTGCTTCTTATCAAAATAACTTGTAGATTCATAGCTGTTAATTTCTTAAAATGATGTGAAATATCGCTTGTTTACTGCAACAATGGCATAAATTGAAAAAAAAACCTTTTTCTTCTTCTGAAAATCATTTGACAGTTCTGGTTTGTTTTTGAAATACGGTAGTGCAACATTGATTCCACAACAATTTCATGTTCAGTTTGCAAGACACAGATATGAAATTATAATAGTAGGAAGAGTTCACAGAGTTCTTATTAATTCCCATTGCCAAATTTTGAGTTGTCATTGTTGCAGTTAATTAATTAATATTCATTTTTATAAAAAAATACTAATAGTACTTAAAATTGTCTGTAATTAATTTAAAAATATTGCATAATCTGAATTGTAATTTGCAATTTTTAGTAATAATGTTGTTTGATAATAGGTTTTCTGTTTTTATTTTGCATGAAAAAGAAATGCAATTAATTGTATGATCATTTGTGAAATTTAGCATGCTTTGTGGTAAATTTATTTTTAAAATGATTTGTTTTAACATTATGAACTAAAATATTGAACACATGAAAACTGAGAGAGAGTTCATATGACTTGTATGAACTTCATAAAAGAATACACACATACACACACTTAGAAAAAAAGACATTTAAAAAAGTTATTACTTTTGAGTTTGCAAAGTAAATGTTGGTATAATGAAGTTATGATTAAGTATTGTGAAATATTTAATGTCTCCATGAAATAATTGTGTACTTAAAAAAAAAAAATTGCCATTTTTCTAACCTTTAACAGTTGAGGTGTAAATAAGAGTAACTGACATTTCATGTTTGGCAGTGAAATGAAATGTAATGTGAAACCACAGTTGTTCATGTAACAATAGGCACAAGCTCTAATAGAAGTGAGAATTATCACTGCTGTTTGTTTCTATGAAATCATTTGGTATATACGTTTCTCATAAAGCTCAATATACTTCTTGTGCCCAATGTTAGATACCATTATTTAGACCTTGGAGTCCATTTCATATTTCTCAAAAAGGAAAAATTGGAAGTAACAGGTTTCTTATTTCAATTTTCTGCTCTCCTATGTCAGTATCTCCAAAGATATTCACAAACATTGCTTTTGTTGTGCATTTTAATGTATAATAAAATCTGTATAATGAAAATTGGAGTGTCTATCTATGATTTCAAAATAACTGCCTTTGATAATCTCCTATAGTTAGTTAGAAGATAAACACTTTCAATTGTTTTTACAATTTTTGGTGGTTAGTCCATCTGTTTGATCGAGCTTATCTTGAAAAGGGCTAAACAGATTTCATTTTGGGGTTTCATTTAAAGCTGAAGTATTTTCTTGGGTATAATGTAGGTACATTTTTTTAAATTATTGTTTTCTACTAGCGGTACCTGTACTAACTTTTTGCTCTTAGTATATCATGGATTTAAAAGTGAAACTGCCTTCTCATGGGAACTTACCATTGAACCGCCAGTGAGGGAACTGTTTGTTGCAGCATTACATGCTCGGTATTGTTCTTGAGTACTCATTGCATATTATTAACTGATGAAATTGAACTTCACAGAAAATGAAATAGTCATTTTAGTTTTTATCCTAAAATATTTGTATCTATTCCTTGAATTTAACTTAACACAGTTGTTGAGTTATTACTGCCTATCTGACCACCCATGCTAGGGGCTAGCAGTCCCCAGAACAGCTATATCTCAAAAAATGTAAAGGAAGGATCCAAATGATCCTTTTTTTAATTAATTTATTTTTTTTAGAATACCATTTAAGAAACTAAACTTGTTTTTTCATCTGTCCACCACGGGCCCCATCATTTCCCCACATGTCCTCTTGTTGCCAGGTGACCCAATAAAACTCACCTGCAACCATAAAATCTGTTCCTTCAGGTACAGCAAACCCATTTTGAAGGGCTGAGGATGCATCAATTGTGCAATTGTGAGTTTAGCTTGATTATGAATATTGGAGTAATCTATTCTGTCACAATCTGCAACACTTCAATTTTTCATCTTAAGTCAGTTGGGGTAGGATTGGGAAGTAAGTACTTGTCGAACAGTACCTTTTTTTACATGGTTTTGTGTGGATTGTTTCTTATAAATGATCAAAAATGTTTTGTACTATATGTAGAGAGGATTATATGAAGAATATTTGTATGATTGTTTTTATACAATTATTGTTTAATCTTAACTGTCATGAAATTTTATGCATATGACAAAAAAAAAGTGGAAAATCTACTTGAATCTTCATCAAATCTTACTCCATTCTCTATTCCTACCTCTTGAAATAAAATTTTAGTGCACTCTTTTGCAAAGTCTCGAAATCGGTGTGGAAATTTATCAAATAGAATATAACATTTCTGAAAGCCCATAAAACATTGCCTTTTGATTTATTCCAAAAGAGCAATTAGGCTTTTGGTAATTGCAGCTCAAAATTGTTTATGGAAATTTGTCAGGAGTATTCAACAATGAATTGTTTTCAGCTAGTGATAGCAATGATAGCAAAAAGGGCAGGGCAGATAGAGGAGGGTCAGAATGCAGCTGAGTGAATGAGAAGACAGGACATGACATTGTGGGTGCAGTGTAGATAAAAATCATTCCTCCAGTAGATGATTGTGATATATACCTAGGCAACTCTGTCTACTACAGCTAGTGTGTGATAAATAATAATGTAATATGATAAAGTGTACATTAAATCCATGTAAATTATTCTTGTGAATATCAGCCGGGATTACTTCATGTATATTTATAAAGTTCGTAGACCTTAATGAAATTCTTTGTGAAAGATTCATTGGTATTCAAACTAATGCAATATTTCCATTAAGTAAGTAGATCTTATGCAGGCATTGATTTCTTTTTGTACACTTCTTTATTATTTACTTAAAATATTGTGAATTTTTCTTTTTAAAGTTTTATGGTTGTTGAAACTGATTTTCATATTTTTTATTTTTGAATTTTGTAGGCTGAAATAATTAGATTTCTTGCAGGATATTTTGTCACTGGTGCATCATGGTTTCAAGGTGAAAACCCCCATATTTGTACAAGATGGTCACATTTCCTGTAGTATGTTGAATGATTTTTCTCTGGGTCACTTGGGATGTCATAATAAATCTATCAAATATTAACAATTTCACTATTCCTGAAAATTGCATTCCTATTCCTGAAAATTCTAATCTTGTTATGAAAAATAAATAAAAAAAATAGTTACGGTGCATGATTTGTGCCAAGTTTGGCTTGTCTACCTTTGAATGTACTTGAAATAAAAACAAAAGACCAGATGTCCATTAAAGGTTGTTTCATCAAGAGTAAAAAAAGTAGAGACTCCAATTAACTTTACTGCGAAGATGTTCTTGCAATATGTAGATATCATTCAGATTACCTTCAACTTCATTGTTGACATTTAATTGGTCACTCTTTCTCTCTCCCAATTAATGAATCTGAATTGAGAGAAGTGTATAAGAAAATCCTGAATAAATCTTATTTACAGATGGCACTTGTGCCAGATTTAATTGAACATAAAAACTATTAAGCCATTTTCTTACTACATTATTTAAGTGCCTTGTTTGCCTGGATTCATTACAAGAAGAAATTAATTCCTAGTTTAAATGTACTCCTAGTTGCTTGAGAGATGGAAATAATCAACCTTTTTTTAATTCTTGTATATTCAGTCCTATTAGCCTTTCTAATGCTGAAAGAGGATAAATTGTCATTTCAAGATTAAAGAAATTTTTTAAATTATACAACAAGACTCAATGTAAACAAAAATGTTGAATATTAGAGTATTCCTGGACCACATTTAGTGTTTGGTGTAACCAAAACACTAATCCAAATTAAGAAATATCTTTGAAATATAGGTGCATTGTTGTTAGAGCACATTTCACAGATTGATTTTGCTTCTTTGGTCCTTCATTGTGACATCAAATCTTTTTATCAAGTTTGACATCATTTAAACAAGTGTTGCAATGTCAAAGAGTAGTAGTAGTTGTAATTGAGTTATGGAACTATTGAAAAGAAGCAGTCCAAAATTTAATCTTCTAAATATTGAGCATGCGGAGATTGTTAGGGGGTGGGAATGGTTGTAATCATAAATAAAAATTATTTAATGTGACTGCAGGAGATTTTGTAATAATGCATTATTAATTTCCTAGATATTCATTTAAAAAATCCGAAAGCAGTTACTTTTTTGTACTCTCTTACACACTATTAATGTAGTATAAAGCAAAGATAATAAGGCTTTGACAAAAGGCTGTGATTTGTTGACAGATAAACTTGTATCATTGGGCCCTGATATCCAAAAAGTGGATTAATGTAGTAAATTCTCTATCCCTCTATGTAGTAAATTACTTCTAACGCTTTGTGTAGTCAGAATCCACATTTTGAGGTTCCCTGCTACTGAAAAATGGGTTGAAGGCAAAATGTCTGTGTGTGGTTAGTGCTAATGCCTAACCTGTTCTATTAGTCCAAAATTGATATTCCCTGATCGACGTGGCCGAACTTGAAATTATATAAATGAGGATGAAACGGATATTTTGATTTTGGGAACGTGAAGCCTCAAAATTTAATTTTAACATGAAGCCTCAAAAATTTCTCATAAATGACTCCAATTTTTTGGTTTCCTTTTTTAAAATCATAGATAGACTGAAGTACTCTTATAAAAATGACGCAAGTCTTGTTTTCATTGAAATCTCTGAATTATAGAAAATGAGTAATTTTGCTTGGAATATAGGCAATTTTTAAACAGTTATTTTCTCAAACCCCTTAATACTTTGAATGAAACATGGAGAACAAATTTGAAAAATAAAAAATAAACATGTTAATGGTTTCTTTTTTAAATTTATTTAACCTCTTAAAAGTACATATTTAATCGACTCTCTCTGTGCCTCATGTTCTAGAATAATGGATAGTTCATAATAATTTTGGAAACAATCCAGTGTAATTTACTCTTTTACTTTAATTTACCTTTTACTAATTACCTCTCTCTCTTCAACAGAGAGTTCACATGATGAAAAAGAACAAAAGTTTGTGGTGTATGAAAATCTCCCCAAACTAGAATTTTTAAATTCAAAGATTTTGTTATACAATTTTTAATAAGTACTTTGTATTTGTTTAACTCTTTAAAAAAGTGAAAAATTCACAAGGTATTTCCTGTTTTGGAAGGATAATCTAATTTCCTATTTAGCCTGTCCTGTTAAAAGTAATTCCCAATACAATAATATTTATGCTGTCCAGACAGAAGTTACAGGGCAGGAATGATGTAATGTAGAAAGAAAGGTTGTGTAATATTTATAGATATAATGTAAGAAAATATCCTGTAAAGTATGTCAATGGAGTATTTGTAAAACTCGGTAAGTCTTGAACATCATTTTGTAGGAAATGCTAAACACTTCTCTGCCTACTTTGGAACAACAAAGAATTGCAGGTTGTTCAACTGCTTGTGGTTAACATTACTTTTAACTCAGACTTTAAAACATGTTGATAAATTCAGATTAAAATGGTGAATAAAATGACTCGAAAACAATTAATTTATGAAATTCCGACTTACAAGGTTTTATAAGTTAGCCTTTGATACCCTGGTTTAAAATGTCTAATACATTTTTTGAATATCATAGAAGATAAATAGATGAAGAGTTTAGTACAGATGTCCAACCATGTCATTCTAAAGTCAAAAGAAAATGTTACCAATGGCTGAAATGTGAGAGGTCACGTTATTGTGTGTAGTCGTTCACGATGCATTTTACAATCGGTAACTTATGCACTAGGCTTTGGCATTGCACACCGTATTATTGGTGCTTTACCAGACTTTTGTAGCTGTGGTAATTTTGATGTGTTTTGTAGTAGCCTTGGAAGTTTTGTTTTCAACCTTAGTGCATTTTTTTATAGGTCTTATTATCCTTATTTACGTTGTAACAGTTGATTTTTTGCCAGATTTGTGCATGATTGTGCTTTTTTTTATGTATTTGTTCGATGTTGGTTGTTAACCATGGTGTTTAGGTGGTAATGCATGGACTGCTGCAAGTTCAGACTTTGATCAGTTTTTGACAATTGACCTGGGCAAAGTGAAGAACATAACAGGAATAGCAATTCAAGGTCGGCCGCATTCTTCAGAGTATGTCATGGAATATGGCATACGTTATGGAACAAACGGCCTTGATTATGCTATCTATAAAGAGCCTGGAGGCAATGCTCGGGTAAGTACAAGCAAGCATGTAAATAGAAATACGATGGAGCTTATTTTTTAACACAGCTTAGTAACTGACATACATATCTGTAAAGCTTTTCTGCTCTTTCTTTTTTCTTTACTTAGTCACTTAAAAATATCTGTTCTTCTTCTTTGTAGAAGTAGGTTGTGAAAGGATTCTTTTGCAGGCTTGCAATTTTCCTTCATGTGCTTAAATTAGTTTTTAATTACAAATATATATTTCTTCTTGACACAAAAGTAGGCTATTTCTTATGCAGCTGACTAATAAATGCCTTGCATGACAGACGAATGTGTAATACATAGTTTGGAAAGAATCTTACTAGAATTTTTAAACATTATCTCCTCTCTTTTAATTACCATGTGGAACATTTTAGGAAATAAAAAAAATGTACTACCATATAACAGAGAATTATTGACATGTTCTCATTGACCAGTTGTAAGCTTAATTTAATTTAACGCAAGAAATTATTTGTTATAAATTCAAGTGAACTAGGTTACTGATATTGGCAGCAACCTTTTTGAAAATGGATATTAACTTTTTTAATTGTGAAATTATTATTTCCAATGTATTTGATAAGAGTAAAAGGAAATTTGCTAATGATTATGTTTTTAGAATGTTCAACATTCTTACAAAAGCCTTCTTATGCGTGTTCGATTTGCTTGACCTTATCAAAAAGACATAATTTGCTGCACTTCTATTGAATATATAAACAGTAATATGTGTTCTAGAAATGCTTTTTTCTAAACAAAAGTAATTATTATTTGTGCAGTAATAAAAACAAACAAAAACAATTGCAGAGGGGGATAGTTGGCATAGGCAACAGTGCTTATATATTAACTTTCTTGGGCATTTTTATCTTAATTTATCCTCTCAGATCTCACTATCCTAAAAATAGCCATTTTTCAGTTCTAGCAACCCTTTTTACTTGTGGCAATTTCAGGTGGTTCGGCATGGACACCCAAAGAAAACACTTACAATCAAAAGTTAAAAATTGACCTTGGAGGCAGGAAGTTAATTAATGCTATAGGCACTCAGGGACGTGCTAATACGCAGGAGTATGTTGTGGAATATAGTGTGGAATACTCAGATGATGGAGAGGGATGGCGATCTTACCCAAGCTCTTCTACAGGGTTTATTGAGGTACTCTGTAGTGTCAATTCATTGTACTAACATTGACAATTAGAGAATGTTTTGCCAAGTACTCTGATTATTGTAGACTCACAGTGTTGGAAAAGTGTTGAACAATTGTGGAGACAGCACTAAGTTCCAAATCAATTTATAAGCTCATGTGATTTTTACTTAGTGACAGAGACTTTTCAGTGAAGTTTTTTTATGATTGAAACCAAAAAGTTCCCAATGAGTATGAATTGAGCCTGTTAGATTTCACAAACTTATTTAACTCAAATTTTATTTTCCTTCTTTTTTCTTTCTTTCCTTCAGAACATTGAATTTCTTCCTCAATGCACTAGTTAAGCAATGCACAAAGAATTTGAAAGCTGCATTTTGTTCTCGTATTTCTAATGGTGTCTAAACTACTAACAAAAATTAACAAGATTTTCTATTCTCTTGGAAACTTACCAGGTGCGGGGTTGGTTAATGGTTGCTTTCACTGTGGGTCTATCATTTCACCCTAATTGATTATGTAAATTAAAAATTTAATTATTATTTTAAATATTAAGAAACCTATTACTCTTGACAACAATGATGGACTGTAGTGAGTAAATTGCTAATAATAATTTTTTGGGTCTGATAGATGTTCAAAGGTAACACCAATGGCAATTCTGAAAGAAGAAATCGATTTGATGTCCCCATTATTGCCCAGTGGATACAGATTAATCCAACAAGGTGGCATGATCGGATTTCACTTCGTGTTGAGTTGTATGGGTGTGACTTTGGTAAGGACCAGAATGAGGAGGAGAAAAAATCCTTGCTATATTGTACTGCTAAAATGTAATGTGGTTTTAATTTCAACACATTTCAGAGTCGGATACTTTATACTTCAATGGAACAGCATTGGTGAGATGGGATCTTTTACGAGACCCTATTTCTGCTTCTCGTGAAACTATTCGATTTAGGTTTAAAACAACTGTTGCTAATGGAGTCCTAATGTACAGTCGGGGAACACAAGGAGATTATTTTGCTTTACAGTTGCGGGAAAATCGTATGTTATTGAATGTAGATCTGGGTAAGAATTGCTTTGCTTATGCTGTAGAATTATATTTCGCAAAAGCTGAAAATAATATTTAATAATTTATTGGTATTTTGTAGGAGCTGGTCTCATGACAAGTCTTTCAGTAGGAAGTCTGTTGGATGACAATTTGTGGCACGATGTAGTTGTTTCTCGGCATCACAGAGATATAGTATTTTCAGTTGATCGTGTCGTCATTAAAGGACGAATAAAAGGAGAATTTTCTAGATTAAATCTCAATAGAGAAGTGAGTTTAATAGAGAATCCTTATGCCATTGCATGATTTTTTATTTTATGATAATGCTCAACTTTGATTTCAAAAACCAAAAATTTTCAGTTTCTCATCGGTGGTGTATCAAATAAACAAGATGGCCTCGTGGTGACTCAAAATTTTACTGGTTGTATGGAAAATATTTATTTTAATTCTACAAATGTTATAAGAAATATCAAAGAAGTTGCACCCTATTCTGCTTATGATTACAATAATCTTGTCTATCAGAGAATACATGTTGTTTACACTTGTGAAGTAAGTTGTTATTAGTTTGTGCTAGTGAATATCCATGAACAGTTATTAATGAACATTCTCTTTCTTTTGTGTGTGTATTTTGAAATTAAAAATGCATAAATTGATTTTTAGGAACCCCCTATTACTCCTGTGACTTTCCTTACGAAACAGTCTCATGTAAGGTTGAAAGGGTATGAAGGTGTTAATACAATGAATGTTTCCTTTGCCTTTCGGACATATGAAGAGGATGGATTACTTGTTTATCACAAGTTTCTTCATGACGGTCATGTAAAGGTTTGTACTTAGAATTTGTTTTTATTTTCCCTATGATTAATATTCAAATTAAATTCTAAATGTGATAATTTTACTTTTCATTAGTTATATCTTGAGGATGGAAAGATAAAAATTGAGTTGGTGACTCCAGGTAATCCAAAAACTTGGTTAGATAATTATGATGATCTGTTTAATGATGGGAGGTGGCATCGTGTAATTATGACAATAAAAAAAAACAAGCTTATTTTGGATGTTGATAATCGACCAATGGAAACGACTCGCCTTTTATCAATGACAACAGGAGCAAAGTATCTAATTGGAGGTATGTTGATACAAAAAGCAATACAACAAATCAAGTTGTAATGTATGTAATGAACTTGATTTGTAGATTAGAATTTAATTAATTTCTACACACATTTAAGCATTTTACATTTTTTGTTTATAATTGTGTTCAATACATCTTTAGGTGGTATTGATACATCAGGGTTTATTGGTTGTATGCGGATGATAAGTGTCGATGGAAATTACAAACTTCCGGCTGACTGGACAGAAGAGGTACAGATACTTTTGTTTTAAAAAGATTGTGCATCAGGAAAGTCTCTCCTCAGCGTGGCCATGTAGGTGAGAGTGCTAGTTTCAGAAATGATGTTGGTATCATGAGAAACAGGCGGCGCAGAGCCTGTCAAAAAGGGGATGCAGAAGGAGTGGAGAGGCGGGGCTCACATGTGACACTAGTGCCACATAAGACAGTGAAGTTGAAGGCAGAAGAGGAGGCAGTGACAGGCTCTGTCTCGGATCGGTGCGGAGAGACTTTACTGGCACACTATAGCATCAAATGGCACTTTACTGGCACACAATACATTGTTTTCAAACATCTCAGTATTCATAATGTTTTTTTTCAGGAGTATTGCTGCAAAAATGAGTTAGTTGTTGATTCTTGTCAGATGATTGACAGATGTAACCCTAATCCTTGCAAACATGATGGCATTTGCAAACAAAATTCAAATGAATTCTTTTGCGATTGTGCTAACACTGGTTATTCAGGAGCAGTCTGTCATACATGTGAGTGAAGATATATGGCATTTTCTTTTGACTTGAAAGAGAATAACCATTACATTTTTCTTCAAAAAATCCAAGAATAAATGTTAAGCTTTTATTGTTAAATGTTTTGATTTTTAGCTCTGAACCCTCTTTCTTGCCTGGCTTACAAGAATACAAATGCTGTAAATCAGCAAGCAGAAGTGAAAATTGATGTGGATGGCAGTGGTCCTTTGCGACCATTTCCAGTTACATGCAGGTTTTATGGTGAGATAAATTTCAACATATGGCAATATTGAATTTTAGAATTGGTGAATTAATTTCAGTTTTGTGGTTAAAATTGTTAAGCGGATGGTAGTGTCATCACTGAAGTTGCTCATTCAAATACTGAAGTGACTCCTGTTGATGGATTTGACGCTCCAGGAAGTTTTCAACAGGATATTATGTATGAAGCAAGTATGTCGCAAATGGAAGCTCTCATTAATCGCTCCACTTCTTGCCATCAGAGATTGCAGTACCAGTGCCGACAGTCTCGACTGTTCAATGCCAGATGTAAGTAGTTGGTCATATGTGAATGTTCAGATATTTTATTTGTGTGTAAATGGTGGCATCTTTCTTGTATCTCACATCGGGAGAGGAAAAAAAAAGAGAGAGAGAGTATTTGGCAATCCTATTTCTCTTGAAACGAAGAAAAAGGGTCAATATTTGCATGTAGTACTAGTGTAAAACATGATAATCTGCAGAAAGTATTTTCGAGATATAAGCAAGTGAACATTGGTTGAAGTAGTTTAACATTAGAAAGGTGGAACGATTTGCCACCCTAGAATGTCTTAGAAGTCCCGTGGATGCATGAAAATAGTTTTTTTAATAGCAATAAATAAATATTTTCTTTAGAATAGTTTATTTTCTTTCATAATATTTGAAAAATAGGAGTTTGTGACTATTCATCAATACAATCAGGGGAAAAATATATTCCCTGTTTTTTTGTAAGGAACATGAGCCGTAATCTCAATTACTTAAAAAAAGGCTTGCAAGTTTTTGATTAAATTTTGTTGTAAATAGTGAACAGATGCTAAGAAGAATGGCAGAATTCTCAATTTCATTTACATCCATGATTTTTGTGAAGATTGCATAAGTTCAAATTTGTTTGTTTCTGTTTCTTCTTAAAACAATAACATTAGAGCTAGAAAATGTTCCCTTAATAAAATCTATGGTTGAAAGACTGATCTTCAGATAACAAGTATTCAATTTTTGTGAATTTATACCTGACGCTTGAAGTTCTGAACGTTTGGACGGTTTCTCTGACGTTTGAGGTTTCTGACAGTTTGAGGTTTCTGGACGTTTGAGGTTATCCTGACGTTTGAGGTCTGACGTTTGAGTCTGCGAGGTTTATGACGGTTTGAGGTTTCTGGACACCCGTTAGGTCACTCTGAACAGTGCCGTTTCCGTTGAGGTTTTTGCGTTTGAGTTCTGGAGTTTAAGGTTTCTGACGTTTTGAGGTTTCTGAGTTTGAGGTTTCTGACGTTTGAGTGTTTCTTGGGACGTTGACGGTTCTGACGTTTGAAAGTTTCTGACGTTTGAGGTTTCCTGAGTTTGAGGTTTTGACGTTTTTTGAGGTTTGTTAATTTTAGAAGTTTCTGACTGACTGAACTGAATTTTCAATAACTGTGAATAAATTTGTTCTAATTATAATTTCCGTCTTTGTTTTTAGCTGGAGTAGAATTTCAACCATATTCATGGTGGGTTTCAAGAAATAATCAAAAAATGGATTATTGGGCTGGGGCACTTCCAGGATCACATAAGTGTCAGTGTGGAGTTTTGGGCACCTGTGTTGATCCCACTAAATGGTGCAATTGTGATGCAGGCAAGTTTCTACCAAAGTTATGTTTCTTTTGTATCCTAGTTTACTTTATATACAAAATTCTATTAAGTATTTACTTCAAATTTCAGTTGTGCAATAAACAGTTGGGTTAAATAAAATGTAAGTGCAGTAGCAAACAAAAAAAAAAATACACACACACACACACACTTGCACTATGGGCTATAGTAGTGTATGCCCGTTTTGGTGTGTGTATAGATCATTGAATTGCTAAACATTGGGTTTAAATTTCATGAGAAATCAAAAATTGTCACTTAAATTTTTTCACAGAATATTATATCTATCTGAATTCTTTCATTTTATTTTGTTCTTTCAATTTAGTTTTTCGTATATTTCTAGTTCTACTTATATCTTACTACCCATGCTATGTAGTAGGGGCCTCCAAGAGAGCTAAATCTTCAAAAATATAACAAAATGTTCATAAATCTCTCATTGTGAAATATATCTTGGGCCCATGTGTCCTCAACATGCTTCCTGCATGTCCTCGCGTCTCCCTCCACCATCCCCATTCTACCCATCCAAGCCTACCCCTGTCGTGTGTTGCAGTAATCTGTACCCTACATCATGAGACTTTGTTTTTTTCATTTTTGATGAAGGTTTTTTGTGTCATTGGTGTCTTATAAATTGTCAAAAACCATCCATCCATCCATCCTTATCATATTAAATGAGAAAGTAGAATTCTCAATTTGAGAAAAGATCATAAGTTTAGTGCAATCAAGTGGTTCTTTAAATTTTATTTTTCTTTGTGAAGTAATTTCATTTGGTTTAACAACTCTAATCATAATTCATTAATTACATTTTCTTGATTGTTAAACCTTGGAATTGTGCAAATTCAAGCATTGAATAATTGTAATGAGGTTGTTTTGATGGAGATGTAACTATAGAGATTTGCTTACAATTTTTTTATGCAAGTCATAGTTCTATTGCATTTTTGGACAAAATTAATTGGGATTTTCATTCAGGTTTTGAAAGTTGGCAAGAAGATGGAGGTGATATCAAAGAAAAGGAATTCCTTCCTGTGAAGCAAATTCGCTTTGGTGACACTGGTAACCCTCTTGATGAAAAGGAGGGTCGTTACATTTTAGGACCTCTCATGTGTGAAGGTGATGGTAAGTGTACAGTTTGATTACTTAATACCTCTACATTGCCGTTTAATATTTGGTGTGTCTGATATTTGAAAATCAAATACTAATGCTGCTCCAGCTAGCAATGAGCAATAGCAGCTTCTCAGAGGTAAAATATTGTGCAAAATTCATGTTTTTTGAAGTGCAAGTGTGCTTGCTTTGAGCAGGTAGAAAGAGCAGCAAAATAAGGTAATGTTGTCTCCCATAATGCAGTGTTGTCCAGCATAAAGATGATTTGTTTGTGGTATAATTAGTGTTTGATTTATGAATTAAGATTTCTTGAACACTGTGTTAAATACAAATTAATTCTTTTTAGATCTCTTTAACAACGTGGTAACATTTCGAATTGATGATGCATCAATTGATCTTCCAACATTTGATATGGGCCACAGTGGTGATATTTACTTTGAGTTCAAAACTACTGTAGAAAATGCAGTTATAATGCACAGCAAAGGACCTACAGACTACATCAAAATATCGATTATAGGTAAGTATATGATGACAAGAGAATTACCGGAAATAATTGAAATAAGGATTGTAAAGGATTGTTAGCAGGGTGGCAACACACTTAGAAGACCAGGTCAGACCATTGTCAGAGAATTTATTATTTATTGAAAAAGTCAGGGAAAAATTAAGGAATTGTTTTTTTCCACAAAAATATTTTGTACAAAATTATTTCGATCTTTTGGCCACATGGATCCACATTATTAAAGACTGGTTTTTGTTTTTAACTAATTATTACCATTGAGTCAAAATTTAATAACAAATAGTCTAATTGACTAGAAAATAGTATTGTTGAGAACTTAAAATCTGTTAATTGTCAAATGCATAAGAAGTGCAGATTTTCCTACTATCATAATTTAACACTCTCATATCCTTTTTGACTGTCCAACAAGAAGAAAGGATACCTAAGTGCTAAATTATTAAGTTAAACTTTTCTTGCTTGAGCTATCACCAGTCTTGTGTTCCTTAAAATCATCATAATCATGGATTTTGTCACTACTATTGTTATATGTAGCTATGATGACATAATAGTTAGCACATCGGACTGTTGTACCTAAGTTTGCGGGTGCAAACCTGATTGAAACCACAGACTTTAAGGGCAAAAACAGAATCCTTTTTCAAGCCAGCTCCCACGTTGTAAATTTAGTGCATTTAAAATATTCTTCAGCCTAAAAGAAGCCTCTTAGCTAAATCCAAATCATTTGTTTTGTCTCCTGTGTGATAACTTCTCTCTCTGCTAGATAGTGAAAGAAGTGTAGCGAAATTTGCGTCATCAGGCAAAAGAGCTGGTTTGATGGTCCCATTCTTGCCTCCAAAAAATTAGGCATGAACTGAATTGAATATTGACCTGAATACTTTTGTTGCTTTTTGGACTTCTTCTTGTAGTTCTCTGACTTTTTACTTCAATCTTGCCCACAACAATGTTTTGCATTTCAATTTGTGCTCTTAGTCTTTCATCTGGTGTCACTGATGAGTGTTCTTGTCATTCGTTTTTCTTCCTGTTGTGTTCTTGTCTCTTATTGTTTAACGACTTTTAACTTTCTTTTTCACATAGTAGCGTCGTCATTCATATTCTTTTTCTAGGTGGTGACCAACTCCAGTTTCAGTATCAAGCTGGCAGTGGCCCGTTAGGTGTGAGTGTAGAGACATCATACCGTCTTGCTGATAATAATTGGCACTCTGTTTCTGTAGAGAGAAACAGGTAAGAAGGTTGAAACAGTGGTGAATAGTGCTTACTTCAAGTCTGAAGCAAGTAGTAAAACCATTTATTTAATTTGATGTGAATAACCTTAAACTTTTACTTGGAGGGAAATGCTGGGAAAATAAGTAAATATTATTTGGAGAATGCTGGGAAATCAGAACATACTCGTCTTGCCCATACTGATCTGTAAGACTAGGATTTTGTGCACTGTTTTGGGTCAGATATCCTACAAGGAAATAACAAATTTCTCGAATGAAACTGCATGGACAGATGACTACTTTTGCAAATGCAGTTTGTGAAAAATTGTGCAAAATTACCCTGTGGCTTTAAACAAGTTGCAACGTTCGAATATGAAAGCTGAAAAGGAAACTGTATGCTCAGGTTCGGTTTTTCACAACTCTGCTCATGTAGAGCTATTATGAAGAGCTGAATATGCAGTTTCATTTCCAGACTTAATACTGAAAAGCTGTTTCTTGTTCTATACTAAAGTCCATTGGGGAATACTTTTCACAATCCCCAAACATTAAATATTTATTGAAGATAACATGATTTATTTTTTCTCTCCAGTGTCCACGATTGTTTTCACTCTCCATTCCCTACAACATTAAAATTATTCTTGCAAATCAATTTAAGATGTAATAACAAGAATCCAGAATTGTTTTGGTATTCTGAAATTCAAGAATACAACCTCCATTATTATTGTAATACGATTGTAGTAGAACCCTGATTTATCATGACTTGATGTTTTCATGCGTTTAAAGTAAATTTCTGAAAGTCTCGATGATACCTATATGTTATTAATTGTAATTATATTTAATGTCACTTGTTTTGACATGCAACCTGCATTTAACGTTAAACATTTTTGTATTGTAATTTTTCTCCAGAAATTAGGAACCATGGCCACATACATCATCTGTTACGATCTGTCATGCAATGCAGCCAATTTTAGTATACGAAAACCAATAACAGCTGCAATGACATCTGTATTAAGGTGGTGTTATACTAAGTTAGCTCCTCTCAATCAGATTGTGATATAGTAGGAGTTGTCCCTCGTCCTTTACAAATTTTACACTCGCAGAACTCATATGATAATATTGTGATTTAATTATGTATGGGACCGTCCATAAATTATATAATGCAAATTTACAGTTATTTGAATATCCCAACCCCCCTGTAACACAGCTGCAATGCACACTTGAATCCCCCCAAATAATAATGTAATGCTTACAACTAGACCCTCCCCCATATTTACAATAAATAAAAATGAATTATAAAGTAGAAATGACAAGCTATATAAATTTAATTTGTGTTATATATTAACATGTGTTATAATTAAATCCAGAATTAGTTTCCAATGTGGACTGCTTTTTTTTTCCATTTAATTTTGTAATATTTTAATGTTGTAGTTCAAGACTGGATAAAAGGAATAATTTCAGCAAAAGGCAAAAAAATTTTAAAAATAAATATCAGCAATACACACCACTGAACCATGACTCCCTTACGTGTATGTAACGCAGCGTAATGCCCTCCCTACCCCTTCGGTGTTACATAATGTATGGATGACCTCTGTGATAAAAATTAAGATTTTTTTTCCCTTTCCCCCCCCCCCCTTTTTTTTTTTTTTTTTTTTTTTTTCCCCTTAGTTAATTTTAACTTGTTTCCTGAAAGAATACCTTAGACACCCATTTGGTGTAAACCTCCTTTTAATGCAAGAATTTTTAGGACACCCTAAGGTGATGTTAAATAGGAGTTCTACTATAATGCATTGTTATAAACACATTCAATTGCTGTTGTTCCGAACACCACCACACTCGCTGATCTTGACAGCAAAAAAATCACTTAGTGTGATCATCAATGTATTTATGTATTAAATGAAATAAACACTGTTTTGTTCACGTTTGAATTAAACACAGGAAAAATAAAATCTTACTATAAGATTAATTAATATAGGTAAATATTATTTACTACAAGTAAAGCTAGAATTTAAGTTTTATTCACTGAAACAAGTATTTACTACAAAAGCTTTTAGAATAAACAATACTTATTTTTATTTACAAGACCCAAAAATATTGGCTGCAGAATGCCTTTATAAGATTTTTCTTTATTAATGGATATTGTGTGTGTACCTGCTTTTAGGAAAGAAGCTCGTATTGTTGTTGATGGGTCTCAAAAGGCTGAAGTGCGAGAACCAGCAGGACCTGTGAGAGCTTTACATCTTGACACAAATCTTGTTGTGGGTATGTTAAATGTTGAATTGTTTGAGTAAATTAAGTGAGCAAAAGGACATTCTTATTTCTGAATAACCTAAGTCAAGGGTGTCCTAACTTACAACGCCTCACGAGCCACAGCTATAACCTTTAATATGGTTGCAGGCCGTATTTATATTACTCAGGCGTCCACATCCGACTTCCCCATATTCTTGATCTTGGCAGTTTGCTCAGTGCTCAGCTGTTCTAAAATGGGGAGGGAAGAATGGAACCATATGTGATATTAAGCTGTACCATGTACAGTGAAATACACTGGGATGATTTTGAATTTCTGAATTTACTAGAAAAAAATTCTTAAATCTAAACTTGAACCTATTTTTACATAAAGGACAGGATAGTAAGGAGGGGTTGAACTAATGATGTGGTTGGTTTTGGTGCGAGTGGGAGGGATATATTGGGAGAAGAAGATTTGATGAGAAAAGGTAAGTCCACAGTATTTGATTTCTGGTTGCCTTGGTTTGGGAGTATGAGGTTGGAATATGAAATATTTTTAGCAGAAGATTCTGGCTTGCAAGGGTTAATGATAATGACTTAGGGGATGCCCAGAGGTTAAAACTCTTGAGGTATTTTGTAGTTGATTGTGGGATAAATGGACAAAGGGGTGAGATACTAGGAAGGTAAGGTCATCTGGATAAAGGCAGGTTTTAACTCGAAGGTTAGGTAGGTTAAATGGTGAAGTGGGTGGAAGATAGCACAGCATCATGAGGCTTCGACAAGATGATTGGGGAGCTTTTAGAGAGGTGACGGATAAGGAAGAATCTGTGGCCAAGGTAAGTTTGTAGTAGGAAAAAGATGATTTGGGATACAAGGAGAGATTTTCATTAATATAAAACATGATGTAAGGCAAGTCACATTCTTGGGTAAAGTCAGTTAAGAATTTCTTTTCTGGATTCAGGTGGCTATGGAATGCACTAGGTTAAAGTTCGGAGCAACCTTCCTTGCAAACCAAATTGGATTGTTAGGATAATTGGATCTAGGATAGGGGTGAGCCGAGCCAGTGAAGATTGAGTTGGGCTTCTATAGGTTAAATATAGTTGTATTATTATTTGTGGTCCATGTCAGTTGCAGGTGAGAGGGTTTTGGGGCTCATAGATAGTTATGGATAACATCTGCATGTGGAGTTGCAGGGAAGGAAGCATATGGCGAGGGATTGGTCAAAGTTGTCGATGATGCTGTGTGCAAGGGTATTAGAGGTGGTAAGGAGTGGGAGATTTTGGTGGGATGATCCCAAGAATTCGTCTATGAATATTACTCATTGTAGATGTGTGTTGTTTTGTCCCCTTTACTTTGTCTGTGTTAGAGTTTCTTGACATGAAAAGGCCAAATTAAAACATGGATCCCAACCAAATAGATATGCGAATGCAGTATGTGCAGTAAATCGTCGAATATCAGACAAACCATTTTTTTCAAAAGAGATATTTAGGAAATCACGTCATCTCGTATATTGATATTTCTAATAACGAACTCAATCAAACTAGTTTTGGGTAGTTTCTAACGCTAATGGGAGGCTAATTGGCTGCAAATTTCTATTTACACCATCCTAACCTAGCCTAACATGACTCCACTGTACACTTCAGTTGCTTTTCTATGCATTTCTGTGCTAGAATAACAAGGTTTCATTCACCAGCCTCTGACATTGCCGTAAAACATCTTTGAGCGTGTGTTGTGCAAATTGTTCAAAGTGCATTTTTATGGCAAAATACTTCTCATAGACACTCATGACATCATTCTCAGACAATCACCTTACTTTAGCCAGAGTCCTGTTGTAAATGCCAACATTAGCCAGATGATGTCTGAAATGATTCATTCCTCATCTTTTATATAGCCTTTATCCAAAGTCTCTGGCTAAATACCCAATGTGAAATATCCAGCTAATATATGAATTAACCATGATTCAAATTTAAGGTGTACCGCATATATTTTTAAGAAATCTATAAACTTTCAATTTTTATTGGAAATCTTACTTTAGATCCGTGACAGCAAGATATATTAAAATTTGAATGATTAATTATACTAAATGGTAAAGTTCTCTTTGTAGACATCTTAGAGAAATGGGTTTGTCTGTTGTGAAGATTGTTTGTTTTTTTAGTATAACAGTTAATTCATTTCAAGCTAACTTTCATTGTTACATCTCTATACAGGCTTGATCTAGAACAGAAAGCATTTGTTTGCATCCATTACTCTCAGTCTACAGGGAGAATGTTATAACATTTAGTCTGTAGAATAAACTCCACAAAATAATTACTTAAATAGTTGTACATTTGCATCCATTACATTGCTTGACGTTTCATTTACAGGTGCCACTGTTGATTATCGAGATGGGTATGTTGGCTGCATCAGAGCTCTGCTTTTGAATGGAGAATTAGTAGATTTGGCTGGTCATGCTAAGAGGGGAGTCTATGGTAAGTACTTGGTGTTTAATAACAATATTACAGAAAATATTGATATTGTTATGAAGATGATTTTAGAACAATTGATACTGAGGTAATGAATTACACATATTAAAACATTTAGTATTTATTGTCATCCATATATGTTAGGCTGTACATATTGATCACACGGGCCTTGTCAGAGTTAAATGATTATAATATTTAATTGTTTTACTCCGTTTTAGATAAATGCAATACTTAATCATTTCAAAACTAGAGAAGAGAGTGAAAAATGTTTTTGATGTTTTCTGTTTAAAAACTTGGGCTGATTACAACCACACTGACCTTTGCATAATATTAGAACTATCCAGAAGATACATATAATTAATTATTCCCTTTGCATTATCTGTTCACATCAGCCCTTGAGTTTCTTGCAGGGAAAGAATAATTTAAAATCTAAATTTAAATTAATATAAACCTCTAATCAGGTTTTATCTTCAGAGATAAGACTGCCCTATATTTTTTAAATGAGATATTTGGATTTACTAATTTATTTGCTTATATACTGGCAGAAATAGTACCACTTATGCCCAAAGCTCTGCTAATTAATTTGCTATTTGCAAATATTTAATAACAAATTACAATGTGTAAAGACTTTTGAACTTATATAATTCCAGATTTATAAATAAAGAACATGGTACATATGGAATAATGGGAAAAAATGTACAGTTATTTTGTGCAAAAAAAAGGAAGACCCCACTATGAATTCAACAAACTGGAATAATTAGCTTCAAAATGCTTATAATTTTTACTGTTTTTTTAATGCTAGGAAAAAAACTGAAATGATAAAGCTATGGTAGTAGTCCAAAAATAGTAATAATAACAATAAGAACAATAACTACAATAGCCCAGTTTTCTATTGAGTGAGCCTAAACTGTGCAATATTGGACCATCTTGTCTATCTAAAGCATAGTTTTACTACGGGTATCTTTCTACTTGTAGGTGTAACACCTGGCTGTGTTGGAAAATGTGAAAGCAACCCGTGTCTCAATAATGGTACTTGTCATGAGCGTTACGATGGTTATATGTGTGACTGCAGATTCACAGCATTTAAAGGACCTATTTGTGCAGATGGTGAGTTGTGCATTTGCTTTTTGAACACATCTCTTTTAATGTTTTAAACAAATATTTTTAAATTTATTTTAAAAATGAGAAGTAAATTGAAATAGTATCTCTGCACTTCTGATATTTACTCCCTTTCTACTTTCTTTTTCTGCTTTTTCTTCTTCTCCTTCTTCTTCTTTATCATCTTCTTCTGCTTCTGCTTCTTCTTCGCCTTCATCTTCTTCTTTGCCTTCTTTTTCTTCGCCTCCTCCTTCTTCTTCGCCTCCTTCTTCTTCTTCGCCTCCTTCTTCTCCTCCTCCTCCTGCCTCTTCTTCTCCTCCTCCTGCCTCTTCTTCTCCTCCTCCTGCCTCTTCTCCTCCTCCTGCCTCTTCTTCTCCTCCTGCCTCTTCTCCTCCTCCTCCTCCTCCTCCTTCTCCCTCTTCTCCTCCTCCTTCTCTCCTTATTCTCCTCCTCCTTTTGTTTGAATATATTGGCTTCTCCAACCCTTGAGCTATGAGAAATTGCAATGGTTTATGTGAAACAAACTGAAATATGATGTGATTAGTTATTTTGCTCAATTGTTTTAAGTATGTGGCAATATTTTTTTAATGTTTAATAATGATCAGAAATTTAGTATTTTGCCACTCTTAACTGTACTAAATAAATATTACAATAAATTCTCTAATAAGCTTGCAACTTCTATGTGGGGTTGTGAAGGGAGAATTGCCATGTAGAAAATAAATGTATTGGAATGTTAATGAACTCTTTCTTAGCACGGAAGATGAGAAGGAAGTGCCAAAATATCTCGTCTTGAAAATTGTTCCAGAGATTGGTGTCAATATGAGACCTAGTTCTGCAATAAAATATGACTTCGCTGGAAGTTGGAGATCAACTATCAGTGAAAAAATTCGTGTTGGTTTCACTACTACGAATCCAAAAGGATTTTTGTTAGGATTCTTCTCCAACATCTCGGGAGAGTATTTAACCATCATGGTTTCCAACAGTGGTAAGTTATTTACACACAATTTTGAGAAAATCTCTTTTGACTAATTATGATAATGTTGTATTTATTTCCTGTAGATGTAAATTTCCTTTTAATAACATTGTTTCTCAGGCCACTACGTCGTTGTTTTTCTGATTTGTGATTTCGAACGGCAAAGAGTTGATTTTATCTCGGTAAACATTTTGGTATGGGACCAATTATCATGATATAGGATACAAGTCGCCAACAAGAATCTGGATCTGGGTATCAGTTATTGCAGCGTAAATATTAACATCCTTTGTCATTGTTGTAAAATCACTTTTGTAAGCTAATCTTTAACAGCGTTGAATTGTCCCTACACAATAAACTGTTCAGTATTAACCTGCTTTAGTGTCGCTGAAATCAATATTTTCCCATGATATATTCTAATATTTCTCAGTCCCTTTCATTCCGGTACATTAAGAATGTCAAATTATGCTAACTTTTATACTTCCAAAATTAGTTTCTTACCATTTTTCCTTTTTATCCAATTGTGTGATTTCAGAGAATACTAATGTGTTTGGTTGTGAATCTTCTTTGTTTGTTCCATCTAGTGTTCAAAATACCTGACTAATTATAATTGGGCAAAGTTAGAATTATTTCCCATTGTCCCAGGAGTGTCCTAGGCCAGGTGTTCTTGCTGCTAAATGCAAAAAAAATGTAATTGAGAGAAAATGATAAGCCAGATAAATGTATATAGAGTTAAACCCTGTTTTTATGATATCATATTTTACGTTTCTTGCCTTTTACGTACTTTTTCATTCGGCCCATCAGAAAACTGATATTTACAATGTATTCTCAATTTACAACTCGGTGTGAAGAGTCTTTTATGTCAATTTCTCTCTTTATTTTTTACTTTTATGTATATATACGTTATGTTCATAATTACGATTGATTTTTTCCCCCTATAAAGTGATAAGACCTGACTTTTACCAGTGTTTGGCATTAATTTGTTCGCTTAACACTAATTACCAAATCCATCAAGATTTCTCTGAAAAGTCAAACACAAATTAATACTTTTAATGGGGAGAAATAAGTTAATATCATCCACTAACTAATGAAATTAAAAAACAAGTACAGTTATCTCTGGCATAGTTAGTGGTAATTCCAAAAACCAAAGGTCCCAACTTAAAACCCTGAGGCACCCCACACGTAGATCTGTAGGCCATGAATGGTACACAGATTGACATACAACATTGGATCTTTGAATCTAATAAGGCAGTATCAGTTTTATATAATTAGATGGTAGATCCGATCTACTTACTTTGTCAATAATGATATCATGTTTCAAAGTATCAGATATCTTAGAAAGGTCAGTAAATATTATCTACTTGAGGGTGAACCTCAAGACTCGTTCTAAACATTGAACAAATGTTAAAAGGTTAGAAACAAACAATCTGCCTTTGATGAAACAATACTGAAGTGTGGCAATTATAGGCTTACACACGTAAAGGGTGTCGTAAATATAATTTTCCTACATTTTCAGAAAATTGGATAACAAGTTGTCAATCTGGGTAGGGTTTCTTTCTGTAGAACCGGAATGACCCTTGCTTTTTTCCGTATGTTCCGGTATATCTTAGTAGAGATGATATTAAAAATGAACAATAATGCTGATCAAGAGCCAGATAACATTTTTTTTAATAGAACTGCTGGAATGTCATCTATTCCCAACATTAGCTTACTTAGCAATTGTTTAAGTTTACTAATAATATATTCAATCGTAACATAATTGCCGATACCAAGCAGAACTAATTCAGGACGTTCCACATGTGAAATCATGGCTGACAATGTATCTAAAGCTTCAGCAAAGAACACTATATATATATTTGTTTACAAATATATATTTATGAGGAACGAAGCAAATAATATAACTAAATGTAAAAAAATTCAGGCAAAGCAGAAATATCCTTGAATGTTCAAGTAATTAGTAATAAGGCTAGTTATAATATTTAAAAACAAATTAAAAATTAAGTTAGGTTATTAATTTAATTTAATAAATAAAGTATTACTTCAGTACTTAATTGAAGTGGTTCCAATGTTCTTCTTCAATTTTTTTTGTACTAATGAAGTTTCTTAATAATATAGATTTGATTCAATAGAACTCTCTGAAATTTTGAAAATCACAAAAGTTCAATTTTTTTCAAACTTCTTTTACAACTTTAATATTTTGAAACTAGCAATTTTTTTATTAATACAAATCATGTTGTGTAAACTCTTTTGAAAATAGTTTTGCTCCAATTTCAAGTTAAAATGTACAGAGTCATATGAATATATCTAGAATACATCGTATACATTTTAGCTTGGGGTGTGAATAGCTCAAAGACAGAGAAGGCAACCCTTACCCACAGCCCCAGGGTTCAGTCGCAGCTAAGTTTTCTTCTTAAAACCTTTCTGTAGAAAATAATACATACAATTCAGTGGCAGCAAACCCTTTTTTAATTTTCAACTTTTGAAATTACGTAAAGCATTGGATTTCATCCTTTAAGAAGGAGAATGTAGTAATAAAATGTTTTTAAAAGCGCTGTTTTTGGGAGATGCATTGCTACAGATTATTTTTAATAATAATAACAACGAAAAGAATAACAGTAACAATAAATATATTTTTGATAAATTCTTTTGAATTTACTCTAGTTAGAGCAGAGTGTGGTGTTATGAAATATTTACTAAAAGTATCTTGCAAACGAATGAAATATTTTTGTGTGACAATGGCATGTAATATGGCAGTAGCCACCTAAGTTCCTTGATGTTGTAAACTAATTCTAATTTTTCTTATGGTTGAAATATACTTTTTACTTTCCCATATATGTACGTACGCAATATTATACATAGTGTAGGCAAAGTTATGTAATGCTGCTGAAAATCAATTTCAACATTTCCATGGAAATATACGTTTTGAGTCCCATAACACTAAGAAAGGTTTTTTTTTTTTGAGTCAAATTTTTGAGATTTTGAAAAACAATCTTTAATATTTGGTGGTACTTTACAATGAAGCACCGCTGGACATTTTCAAAATTTTCTCAATAATGGTTCCAAATTTTTTCTTTAAATTTCTGCAAGAATAGAGTAAAAAACACTTATAAAGATGTGTCTGATTTTCAGGTTTAACTGAATTTTTGAAATTTCAAAATTTTTCAGGTGCCTTCTTGCAACTACAAAATTGCAGATAAAGATTTTTCCTTCAAATAAAATTTGTTCTCCATAGTGAGATCTTTCATTAAAGTCAGGTACATACCACTCAACAGTTTTCTGTGAAAACTAGCTCCTAATACTGCATTTTCACAAATGCTCAAATTTTTTCTTCAAACTTTTACAATAGATAATACTAATTGCACTCTTTGATATGATATAAAGATCTTTTCGGGGAATTTTTTTGTTTTTCAAAAGTTACACGAATGTAATTTCTTTGAAAGACTTCTCATGCCGTTATTATGTACCTTTCCAGCAATTTGTAAATTCTATTGTATTAGTGAGTTAATGTGTTTCAAATGACTTTAAATCATGTTTTTCGAAAATTTCCTTTGAAAAAAAGCTTCAGAATTCGAATTTAAAGTAGTGCTTTAATGCCAGTTTTTTCTTAAATGGCTCCAAATTTTTCAAATAAAATTACCATTTAGGACGAGGTTTTACTGTCCTTTCATATTCTTAAAATAATATTTCTATTCTACTATTAGGAAACCAAAAAATTAAGAAATAAAAAAAAAAATGTACTTTGAGTTGCGATTGATGCCAGCTGGCAAGAGTATGTTGCAAGTCCGAGTAGCTAGCCGAGACCAAAGGAAATAGAAAACAAATACGGGAAAATCTGTGCCATTGTATAGCACCACTAGTTTAATAATGTTTACTACAAAAACCTTTCAAGCTTACATCTTTTAATTTATTTTTAAAGGAGGATGCAGCATATATTTATTTTTTGTAATGTAAATTATTATTTAAAAAACTGTTTGTTTTTCAGGTTGATAATAATGAACACAAAGAGTATAAATTCAATATTAAACAGTCTGCTGATGCTCAGTTTAACAACATACAATATATGTACATAGGTAGAAATGAATCTATGACTGAAGGGTTTGTAGGATGTGTTTCAAGAGTTGAATTTGATGATATATATCCATTGAAGCTGCTTTTCCAGGAAAATGGACCATCAAATGTGCGCTTCATTGGCTGTAAGTATGAGTTATATTTTATTATTGTTCTATTCTAAGAGTCCTGTATACTTGCTGATATTCCAATAATGCATAATTAGAGCTGTAAGTGGGAAATTTTTAAAAAATTTTCATTATATTCCAGTTCAGAAGCTTATGCTAGAAAGCATTGCTTATTCAAATGATTTTCACAATCAATCATGTCAGGAACAAGATGTTTTTTACTTTCTTAGCCTCCTACAGGGAAAGAATTGCAATACTTCAGCAGAAAGCAGTGATTTTTTGACAGAAAAACTCGTTTTGTCAGGCCCTGCAAATCTTGTTGTGTAAATGTAGTAACTTATCCTCGAACATGTGTAATCAGAAGCCGTGTGTTGTGGGTCCTTGATATGGAAAAATTGATTGACAGCAAAACAAACATTCATCTAATCTGATCTGATCTGATCAGTGTCTCTGTTTGTCAACTTTTGATTTTTTTGGCCTCAGAAAAAAAAAACCTCTAAATTAAGCACTAAAATATCCCTATAAACTAGATTAATCTGTCATAACACTGTTTTTCAATTTTTTAATGCACAGTTCATTCATTTTACTATTACTACACCTTTCTATGAAAGTGTATTAATTGTTATAGTTAGTTTCCATATGGAATGTCTGTCACTAAATACGTTCAGCAATTAGCATTATTTGAACAAAAGTCTGTGAAGCCCTGAGTAGTCATCCACAGTACGAGTACATCATGAAATGGCAAGTTCCATTCTTTTTTGCTTATCCCTTCTCTGGGCAAGGTACATTTGTAACATCCAGGCAAGCAGTTTTCACTAGATACTACTGTACAATAAATGTTGTCGTGTAGGGACACGAGTGACATATTTTTATTTCCTGATGAGCACAGTGTAGAACTACTCATCTGGGAAGATAAATAGTACTACATTCAAAGAATTTAGTTTCAGTCCACTTTGTTTTAAAGCTGAAAGAGTCTTTTGCTGGAGTCTCGTAGTACTTCTCCTTTCAATGGATGATTGAATGAGGCCCTCTGATATCTCAGGCAAAAATAAATTTCGAGCATTATGTTTCCCCGTATTCCATATTGGCTAAACATTTGACCAGATGACAAATTCTGCACTCTAGCTACAACCAGACACTTCACGGAGAACAGGAATGGTGATCTTTTGGCTTATCTTCGACATGAGTATGAGTGTATGAGCTGGCCCAGGGGGTCAAATCCACCTTTCATGGAATTGTAATGAAGTATTATTTTCGGTTTATTGCGTGGGTCTTCTGTACAAGTATCTGTATGATGCATTATGGAAATAAGGGAGACTACTTTGCGGCTTTGAAATGTAAGATACAAAAGTAGATTCCCTTGAAATGTCAAAAATAGACGAATTCATGGGATGACTTTTATGGAGCTGGAATCTCTTTTTTTTTTTTTTTCTAACAGTTCCGACAAAAGTGAACCCATTTATCAGAAAGCATTCAAAGGTCTTGTCTGTAAAGTAATTGTCAGACATGGCATATCTATGAGTTCTTTGATAAGGTTCGGTGAGAGTTTGAACCATTCTGTTATTTAAACCTGGAAGCACCTCTTTTCACAGTTTTCCTTCCTGATATATGGCTAACAATTTAGAGGATAGTACTAGCATCACAGGTCCACTGCACCATCATACTTTAATTGTCTTGTTTTGTTTGTATGTACCATTTGAATGGGTATCTGCCCTGTAATGGACTTAGCATTTTGTTGACATTTCATCTGTTCCAGGCTGGTAATGCTTTTGCAAATTTGAATTGAAATTCTCACTCACGTCCCTCAAAGCAGCAAAATTATCATTCCAACATCTTGCAGACCACATGGTTTTGTCATCAAACCATAGAATAATAAGCATTTGAAACGTTGAGTCCCTTGTTGGTCCACATTTGGCCAAAAAAACTATTGCAAAACATAAACTGTTCGAACCTCCACCCTAAGCCCCCACCCTCCACCTCACCTCACCCTCCACCTCGACCCTCCACTCCCTCCATCCCCTCCACCCTCACCCCCACCCTCCACCCTCACCCCACCACCCACCCTCCACCCCTCACACCCCACCCCCACCCTTCCACCCTCACTCCGCCCTCAGCCCTTGCCTTCGCCTCGTCCCTCCGGCGCCCACCTGGCGCCAGAGGTGATCCCTCCTTCCTACAGAGCTCGCTGTTGTGACAAAAATGGAAACTGTCAGACTTTCTTTGTAACCGAAATAACATATTTATCGTACAACAATACAAAAAGTCCAGGTTTTGACAACTAAGAGACATTATAAACAAAAGAATAACATTATTTCGATTGTGTCAAAATGGAAATCACCAATCGTTGTCTTTTATCGAAAGAACAGTGTCTTTTGAACACTGCTTGCTCAGTTATATTACTTCAAAACGAAATAATTATTTCCACTTCTGTTTATTGATCAAATTTAATGAAATTTCACACTCTCCAACAGATAAGAAACTAAGTCGTGAAAGTGTAATCACAGAAACATTATAGTTTACTTTATATGACAGTAAATAAAACCCACAGTGTCCAACAGACACTGGTTATCAAGATAGGGTTAAATTTGTAAGGGATACCAACCTCAGTGACTTCAGTGAGTTCTAGTCACATTCCTTCAGCATTTACATATATCGGATATGAATTTGATGGCATGTAATACTCAAAAACAATCACGATTTTCCTTCTAAGTCCTAATTCAGATACTGGAAATTGATTTGAGCTGCTATGAATTACATAGAGACACACATTACAAAATGAAATATATTACATTGTAATTAATTATGTGTAGGAGGCAGATGACGTTTTAGAGAAATGATATTTTTCTTTTCACTTTAGAACAATGCTTTTTTTCTTCTTCTTCCCCCCCATAATTTTGACTTTTTTTTCTCCTCTCTCTCTCTCCTTCATAGATAAGTCACTTTACCTTTTTTCCATAATTTTTAAAGCATATTTCACCAATTTCATCGATTTTAATATTATTTAAATGGTACTCCAAAGTTCTCCACAGAAATCCTGAGTAGCCTATTCCTTTTGTTTTTTGCTCAGAAATTGTAATGTCAGTCTTTGTATGTAATCTAAGGTTCCTGTGACACATATCAGTGCCATTGTCAGTTTCACCTATTTTGGGATAACGGAAGACAGATTTCCTGGAAAAGAACACTCCAAACAAAAAATCTGTTAGCTGTGTGAATGTAAACAAATGGAAGAGGCATTACATTAGTAACATATGCAGCTTGAGTTGTTTATACCAACTGGTTTAATATGTTTGAGGAGCATTTTATTGATCCGTTTTGGCAATGTTTTAAGTCATCAAAATCCACCTGTTAATTATGAGCAGCAGCAACAAATGTTTTCCAGCTAAATATGCTAAATAATCAGCAGTTTTCAGGAATGTGACTTATATTAAGAAATCAGACAAATTATGAATCATAAATGACGTTCAATAATAATTTCATATTGGGTGTTTCATACTCGTACCAAGAGGCTATGCACTTCAGTGTAGGGATGATGTGCATGGCTGCAGGGGAATAATATGCATTTGTGTTGAAATATGGTCCCTAGGCATCATACGTGTAATATCATAAAAAGCAATTTTAAATCTAAAAATATCAGGTAAAATGGATAAATATATGTAGTAAAGTAATATATACTTGTAAATAGTGATAATTTTCTCCATGGAATGTAGACCATGTCTGCTATTTTTATATACTCATACTGCCATTGAAAATTGCAAATGCATTGAAAATTTATATCAAAGTATGAAATTGAACTCAAAACATTATTTTTTTTCTTTTATTTAGTTTAAAATTTGGTTTGGAGGGAAATTATCAATTTTATTTTGATATGGAAGGGTAGCAAAACACTTGAAAATGTTTGTTAAATCAGACTGCTGACATTTTCTTCTCTTGATACCATTAATTTTCACTTCAATCGTATTATAATAAAGTCTTTTAAGAATTCTAGGATTTACAAAAAGGCTAATTATATAACATTTTTATGAAACCAATCCTATTGAATGCATCCCATTTGATTTCTTCATTTCGAGAAATGTGTCAAATGTAATTGTGTTAATGTGTTAAAACATGTTAAAATGTGTTAATAAATTGTGGCCTTCATAAATACATAATTCTGTTCATTTTGTGAATCTCCTGTTGCAGAGTGTACTGCAATTATAATCCTTTCAGGTTTATTTTTTGGATTTTATGTATTAAAATGTTACAAATATATGTATTATATGTTTTCTAGCACCCTTAACAGAAGATTTCTGTGGAGTTGAACCTGTCACTCATCCTCCCAACGTAGTTGAAACAAGACCACCTCCTGTTGTGGATGATGACAAATTACGATCAATTTACAGGCGTACGGATTCAGCCATTTTGGGAGGTAAGCTGGAGAGATTGAGCTGGAGGATGGGAGGTAAGCTGGTTAGCTTACCTTGGTGATGCTTGAAATGTGCCAATTTTTTTTAGCAATTTCATTAATCTTGACCAACCTTATCACAATATGACTGATAAGAATAAACTCATATTTATTTATTCTTTTTATATATAATTTGCTAAGGAAAGATGACTCTTTGTACAGATTATAACATAGCATGTACACATAACACCATGAATTGTTGGACAGGGAATTACCTCCCTCCCAGGAGGTTGGGTCATTAAAGATTTGAGATAAAAAACAGTTTTGTACATTATAATATAAAGAATTCAGCAGGTGCACATTCCTTTCACATGTTACAATCATGCTTAATTGGAAAACTGTGCCACTAGATCTTTATTCCCTGGGGTTTCAGGTCCCCATAGTATGTTTTTGTACCATATCTTAGAATGAGATATTTTTAGACTGTTGCATTTTTGGAGGTTAACTTTTTTGGATACCCATATTCCCTAGCAGAAGTAGTCAAAAACTGCCTTTCAAATTCTACATAAAATGTATTTAAAAATTGTGCAATTTAATTGCATGAGTCAGTGTTTGTTATTAAACACTGAATAACATTAGAATGATCACACACTGATTCATATGACTGTCATTAATCGTGACCAGCCTTGCATGACTATCATATACACATATTTATAATACATCTATCTATAATGCACAGATCAGATTGTGGTCATTCAAACTGTGGTTCCACAAGATGCCACATGCTCCACCTGCACCATCCGAGGGGGCAAATATAGATCATTTTAGACATCAGCACATGACATTGCATAAAAATCAGTGAAAACTCCTCATATATTTTTCAAAAATGTCAATTTGCAAACCTGTGTCGAAAGGTTTCAATGAAAAGAGAAGGTTTGGAATTCCTGATCCAAGGGGTACTACACAATTTACACAATACCTAAGGTAACATTTCAGTCAACAGAGCATTACAGATATGCTGTCATCGACTTCCTATCAATCATTTCTTCTTAAGAGAAATGAAAGTTTGTCAACATAAAAGGAGTCAACTTACAATTACATCCACTGCTTTAAACACAGAAGTTATCACTGCTAATGTCCTTAGCAAACACAAGAGTTAAGGTCCAAAAATGTAGTTTTGACAACAGGCTTAGTCTTATTCATTTTATTTTGTTAATTATTAAACATGACATGACATAAACATGACAAAAATAATTCTTTCACGAGCTATTCGCACAAGTTTTTCTAAAATATCATATACATACAATTCACAATTTTAGCTTTAAAGAAGGAAAAGAATTCTTATCTTATGGTCTGCTAGAGGTGTGGATATTCTTAGTGATTCAATACTCGATCATGAGTAGATTGTCATCTACAAAGAATTTAAAAAAAAACAAAAAACAAACACTATGAATATTAAAATATATTAAAATTTTAATGTAATGTTTACTAATTTTAATGTATTCCATAGGTAGGTTTTTAATAATTATTAATTATTATTACAAATCATACTAACAAATAATGTAAAATAACATAAACATTATTTCCCAGAGGACAAGGTCCTGTATGCAAACCTGCAGTGACGTTTTATACAATATTGCTTTTTGTATAAAACGTTAATCATTTATGTATGTATTTTACAGTGTCTGATGAAGGAGACAAAATCCCTCCTGAAACATCATGTTTAATAATTAATGAAATAAAATCAAGAAGGTGATTGTCAATAATAAGTCTTTGGAACATACCTCTATGTTAGGTACTAATACTTAATAGAATGACAATCTATACCTTGCATAATATACAATGATAAATAAAGCTTACAGCCCTCTACATATGCCCTCATGGAGCAGTTTGCTTATTTATTCAGGGTCTTCTAAAATGATTACTAGATGGAGACAAATGACAATGACCCACTACATTGTACCACCTGTTCTCATGAAATGAAATTCTGAAGTTTCCAAAATTGTTTACATTTTATTTTTTGTTATAGGACAAATAGCTTTATTGGTAGGGGTTTAATTTATTGTTATTATTACCAAATCTATACTGGTAATAAAAACAACAACAAACTTCAATTTTGGTCACATTATCTTTTATTGTCAGTTAACTCATATTTTTCATTCTTTTTTTTCTGTATTAATATTTGTGGTGAGGATAATTTAAATCAATTAATAACCTTCTTTATGCTTGAATTCGTTTTCTTTTTGTTACAGGGGTCTTGGCCATTATCTTCCTAGCATTGGTAATAATGGCAATTTTAATTGGGCGCTACCTTGCTCGACATAAAGGAGAGTATTTGACACAAGAAGATCGGGGAGCAGAAAGTGCACTTGATCCTGATTCTGCTGTTGTACATTCCACAACAGGACATCAAGTTCAAAAAAGAAAGGAGTGGTTTATCTGATATCAAATATCTGACATACAGGTTAAATTACACATTATTTGTAATAGTCAGATTTTCAAAAGTTTATTTTATTTTTTAGGCAGCATTGTGTTGTGTGACACAGATCTTGTGTTGTTTAGATGAACTATAAATATTCAGATAATTATGTACATATTTTTTTTATTAGTTGATTAATAGCCCATGTCAGTTCATCACTAGCATTTCTTAATTTGTATCGTATAAACTATAGGCTGAAATATGCTTGCTGTTTAATCTTCAGGCTGGTGATGATGACTGAAATGTGCAGTATTTGTTTTTATTTGAGAGTTTGTACACACAAGCGTTTAGAGTATGCTTGACAATTAAGAACATTATTTATGAAACTCTTTTCAGTACGACAGAAAGAGCTTGTATTTACCTAGTGCATTAATACTGCCACCAAGCACGGTAGTGAGATTACTTCCAGTGACGTAAGTTCACATATTCTGGTTCGAATTATGAGATTTGATACTCCTGAGAAGAGCTATGCATTTTTGGTGACAAAAGATCTGTGATTTTATTTAAAGACAATGCTAATACTTCATAAAAGAAGTTTTTTGCTATATTTCTGATAAATATTGTTGAATTGCATGAATTAAAGTGCATAAATTGTAGTTGAACTGAAAATTGACCGGAAATCAAAATAAAATGTTTTCAATAGAAACTTGATGATTAATATTCATCAGCATTTTAAAGACTGACTTGAACTTTTACATGTAATGCAGCATTTATTGGTGTGAGGTTAGCCCAGTAGATGATGAAACAGTCAGTCTTGTGTATTGCGTGTCTCTTCCTTCAGCATGTATCAGGTTCTTCCCTTTTCTATGTCTATCTTTTTATTTGAATGATCCATTTGTTTCTGAACTCTTGCAGAGTTCAAATCCAAAAAAAGAAGAGAAAATATTAAGAATGTGTTTCAAGTACAGTGCTGACTGAAAACAGCCAATTTTTCTCTGTTCATCTTGCATTTAAGGCAAAATACTCACACTATATTTTGAACAGTATTATGTCACAGATGCAATAAACGATTTATTATTAATAAGTTTATTCACGAATGAAGAATGTTTTCCTTCCTAAGTTCCTGGGAGATGTGTACAAAATAACAGTAGGAAAATAAAATTACAGTGAATGCATGAAGGAAATGTTTATGATTGTAAGTGAAAATATTATATAGGAAAGATTAACCAAATAATTGCTCAGTAGCTAATTAACTTTTTTAATTTTATAGTTACAATTCTAAAGACATTCTTATTCTGTGGGCATTACTCTTTTTATGCTAATGAATGATGAATAATGACTCGTATTAGCAGGTCTCTCCTGCACAGGTTGTGAAGTCACCAAGAATATTCAGATTTGAAAAATGAAATGACAAGGCATTTGCTCTTTTTCCATGTATTACCATTATTTGACAATTCCTTGTAAAACTAAAGAGAATTGGAACTCAATAGAAACAACAGACAAGAAGAAGAAAACTTTTTAATAAAACTATAATTGAACCTCCTTGCCTTGCTCCATTTACTATTGTGCTAATCCAGGATGATATTGTAAAAAATGTTTGTATATATATACCAGAAAAGCTGTAGAAAATGTAGAAAATAGTTAAATATAGGATTTATTTTGGGAAATCAAACACTAAAGAGATGTGCTTCATATGAAATAATGAGTAGAGACTGGATGTAGGCACCAAAATAGACCAGAAAATCATATCCATAATTTTCCTAAATAATATGTTATATGGCATCAGATCATGGACATATGTTAACAAAGAACATGCTACAAAATTAAAGTGAACTTCAAATGTGATTTAATGCAATTAGGCCTACATATCCAAAAACCCACTTGGGCAATATTTAATGGAATTGGATCTTAAAGGAACAGTATGTTCTAATCTTGACAGTGTGATTATGCTACATTCTATCAATATACAATAGCATTCTGCACTAATTAAGGAATTATCTTTCAAGGCCCAAACCAACCATGTACTTTTTTCACATATTAAGTCTGTCTTCCTTGAGACAAAACAGTTTTTAGAAAAAAATGAAATCCCCACATGAACTGTCATTTTTGCTGCATTGTTCTTCCTCCATGTTAATGACTGACCAATTATCAGAAATAACAGTTTCAGTATCAGTTAAAATTTTGCTCTTATTATTCGACTTGCTGTGTGTCTACTTGTCGTCTACTACACCCTGTGAATTCTATCATTGCTGAAAAAAGAAACCTATATAAAGCAATTATTGGAAAGATGTGTATGAGGTATTCAAGTGTTATTTTACTTTTTGGTATTTTTCTTATTGAAAGAGATTTGCATCTACAGTTTTGTTAACTTCTTTACTTCAAAAACTGTGTAAAGAATGAACTGAATCTGACATTTACTCAAATCTTGAATAAAGTCAGTATGTATGTTAATTCTGTGCTAATTTACCTCCATTAAGTGCCTCAAAATACATTTTCAACAGTCGTGCATACCTGCTTTCACCGAAAAAAAAAATCCCAGAATGGACTATTTTCCAAATATGTGATCACTGGATAATCTGGAAGCTTGCCTATCATGGAAGCGAGGAGGAATATTTAGTATGACTAAAAAACAGTTAAAAATTCTGAATAAGGCGGAAAACAAATATTGTTCTAAAATTAAATATTGAATTGTAAATGTGGTGACATCGTTCCACGAGACGCTCAGATCTGTGCTCATCCATTTTTCAGCTATCTTTGTCCAAACATTGTATTTCCCAAGCTACTCATCTAAAAGCCACTATTTATTTGTAATAGCACTGACATTCACAAGCCCGAGTGAAGGAAAGGGGGAGCGAGAAGAGCAACCCTTCACAGTTTCTGTAATGCATGCTTTAGGTCCAGTGGTTCTAAATGTTTATTGTTCAGTTCGAGATGCAGATGTTTTCTTAATCAAGTTTTATGATTTCGGGTGGCAAATCGAAAACATTAACTCTTGGAAAATTGAGAAAATTAGTCTAACTGATGAATATGCTTTTGTCAGGAATTTGATAAATTTAAATTATGAAACCTCAGGAATGAAGACAAAAATGTGTGGTTAAAAGAGTTTTTATATCACAGTATTCACAAGTACACAGGCAAATGGCAGAAACCTAAATCATCATATGAATTCATCTGTTCCTGCAAATATTGAAGAAAGAAATACCTCTTTTACTTTTTGTGGCGTTCTTTGTTTCGTTAGATTTTGTGTTGCCTTTCTATATGTCACTTTTTTTTTGTCCCTCCCAGGACGTCTTAGTTTCTTTGAAATTTAGTTTTGAGGTGAGAAACTACTCGTACAAGGTACTCCATACTTGAATGATTGCATTTTCTGAATTGACAACTTTTATTGCAAAGCTGAACAAGCCAGAATATGACAGAAGAAACTAGTACAAGATGGAAGAAAACTGTTTTCTTCTGTCTTGTACAGGCTTTACTATACTTACTTTCACTGTTTATTGATTAGAAAGTGTTTGTGGTACATATATGGCAAAATATACTTATGCTTATTGCAAAGAAGACATGGCCAAATAAAACAACTGGGTTTTGCAAAATAAAAGAAATGTTGAGGCAACATTAATCAATATGACTGCCACCTCACATATTGAGGATGATTCCAAGAGTATATACTTGTAAGATACCATGAATTAGTTTGGAACACAATGTATGCAACAAAAGTCTTCGGCATACTCCTTTCAAAATGCTGGACTTAGCTCGTGAATATTACCTTCTCCATCAACATTCCATTCATTTTCCAAAGACACTTTCATAAATTACTATTTTAATAAAATGAAGGAGATCTTTAATCCATCCATTAAAAATAATAAAAAAAGAAAATCTTAAAGAAACATAAGTTGCCCTGTAATGGCAACAGTTTGAAGCATTATCAAGGCATGTTGCCTGTACCCATTTGATCAGTAAACAGTGGTTATTCCTCCAGGTGTTCTTCAGAGATCAATTTCTTGTTTGGCCCTATGGGCTTATACTTTAAGGTGGCTTTTGGCAACCTTTTCTTGTTCATTCTGAAGAAGTGGGTCTCTTTTCTGGTTCTTTTCCACCCTCTCCTATATTCTATATCTCAGCTTTTTTCTACTGTCCATGTTTGTTAATCTAAGTGTTGTGTTTCCTATTATGAGGTGTGGATATCTCACTTGATTAGCATCAGTCAGAGATATCTTTGAGCTGTAGAATCCACACAATCCATTTTCTGATCAATACAGAAACAACATGTTTTGTTATGATATGAATTCTCCATTTAGTTTCCTTTTATCATGCTTCTTAATTATTTTATCGGTTCTGCTTTGTTTTTGTTTTGCTTACTACGTTTTCTGTAATCTGTAAAATAATGATTCCTAAATAATTAAATTTGACACTTGATCTATAATGTTCTCATCACTCAAGACTTTAAACTTCTCATTTCTTTACCTTTAAATGCCATTGTCTTAATCTTGATGGTAGAGATTTTCGTGTTGTAAGTCATATGCTATTATATACAGTTAATTTGTTGTGGTGTAAAGCCATCTTTTGTTTCCATTATGGGTGCACATCAGCATTATAGAAGATGGTTTTGCACTTTTGTCTTTTGTTGATTCCTTTTTTCACAATTTTTTCTATTGTTTCATTACGTAATTGGCATGGTGGCTAATAATCTGTAATATTCACATTATTCATTTTGGGAATAAGGAAGATTAGGAAATGAATAAAACAAGTGAGCATTTTTAGGCATTACTCAAGAAAATAGGGAAAATTACCTTCACAATAAACACGAATACCTTGACAAGAACATACATTATCTTTATGATACCTATGATAATGAAGTATATTTAGGCTCTTTACCTAACATCCTGTCTCTACAAGTAAGGTTGGGAAAATAGTCATTCAATTTGTAAAGTTTATTCCTTTTTAAATATTGTGCTTTTAATAAATAATAGTTCAAATGTTTTGGCTTTAACGGTCTTGTATGTTGAAAATGAAATTTCACTCATTCCTTCAATAAAAATAAATAGATCAATTTTTACATTTGTATTTCAAATCTGATATTTAATATTCCTTTGTGCATCTGAAGTCAATAAAGTTTTTAAAATAATGTCTTGAAGAAAGTGTTTGATTCGATCTTATCCTTGCCTTTATGCCGAGATCAAGTTGTGACAGAAGAGTCACTTCAGATTTTTTATTTGCTTTGTGCTTAATTCATTAGTTTATAATAAAAAAATTCTTTTCACACTTGCTGAGTCTTAAAAAAATATAAGAACTGCATAAGAGCAGGTAGAAGGCTAAAAAGATATGGGTTATCATAACTATGTTAGAATTTAACTGGTATGTATGTAACAATTGTCACTGCCAAAATCTGTTTATAGAAAAAAGAAATTAACCCATAAAAATAAATAAACAATCCCCCAAACAATAGAAATTAAGATGAAACAAGTGTGCAGACACAATGGACCATCTGTCAAGTTGTTGCTTCTGGTAACAGAATCTACTGTATTATCCTCTCAATGATAAATAACATTCACAATATTTAGTGCTTGTTACATTGATTGGTAGGATTTAATAGTAAAATCGTAGCATATGTAAGAGAATTTACTGGCTTAACTGGTATGTACCAAATGTTTAACGGGCAAATCCAGAGACAAATTTTGGGAGAGGAAATTCAAAATGTTTTGGTTGAATGTGTCATATTGCAGATTTTGTAAAATGTCTCAGGCTACACTCATGCTGCGATAAGATTTTATTTGTTTTAATGATTATCTGGAAATATTTTGCTTGCATGTTTCATGACAAGTTAAAATTTTTCAGTGACAATTTTAGGCAGGGAAATTTCCCAGATTTCTCTCCTCATGGATGTGTTTAAGTAGATTGACTAGTGGTATTTAGCATGATTTATTATTGTAATCTAAAAAAAAGTCTGGAAGATGAATTTTCAGCCAATATGAATTAAAATACTCACCCAATCAAAAACGTCTCCTGAAATTCTATTTTGGCAATCATGAAAAACCCTTAGCCAGGACAATTTGTTATTAGGCACTTTTGTTAAATAAAACACCGCTGCTTTGCCAGACAGGTGGAATTTGTGAAGTTTTTGTCAGTAGTAACGGAACCTGTTAGATGTTCTGCCCTTCATCTCCCTCTTCGTCTCCTCCCCAACAGCGAAAATGTAGAACGGACGGTTGATTTGAGTAGTTTCTTCCTTAGAGAAGATGGATCTAAAAGGCCACATTTCCTTCTGATGGCGTGCACGGAAGGAGGAAATACTTTCAAGAGTGAATGCAGTTTGTCTTCTGCTAGCCATAGAGGACACCTTCGGTAAGCTCCTATGCTTTGATGATGCGACAAAGAAAGGTTAACACTATCTTCGAAGTACCCGCCGGCGAGCAAATCGAAAAGATCTCCAATTCTAAGATTGGCAACCTCTAAGTGGAAGTGACTACGCACACTATCCTTAATCTGTGTAATGATTCGCATCTGAAACCGAAGTGGAACTTCTCGTCTTCTTCGGGATCCAGGGCATTACCGAGGTGTTCAGAATCAAGAGGATAGAGCATGGGAGAGAGATCCTCACTTCCACCTTGATCCTGATGTTCAATCAGCCTTCTCTTCCAGAGAGTATAAGTTGCGAGATTTATAATTACACGTGCGGCAGTATGCGCCTAACTCGTTGCTTCGAGTTTCAGAGGCATGGTGGCATTCAGAGGTGGTCATAATGAACGACGCTGCATGTCCTGTTTGTGCTAAGTGCGGCAAATCCACGCACGATACAGGTCCCTGTGCATCACCACTTCACTGTGTTGAAGGAGACCATTTGGCCAATTCTAACAGGTGCCTTACCTATCTGAGGGAGAGGAAGGCGCAGAAGATCCTAGTGACGGAGAAAGTGTCCTTTCCTGAGGCGAGACCTCGATACCTGGCAAAGAACTCAGGCGGTCGTTCTCTAGTGCTCTGGCCAAGACGTTGAAAGCGAGTTGCCAGACTTCACCCGCTTCTCCCTCAGTTGCCCACATCTGTGGACTTCCCTAAGGGAACTTCATCTCTGCGAGGTGGGAAAATAATTTCCTAAAATAAATAAATAAATAAGTAAATAAAAAGTTTTTCAAACGAATTCTAACCAATAATTAATTTCTCAGCCCCGTATGCAGGTTGTCGTCACTCGTGTCTGGCCCGGACACGCTTGAAAATAGTGGGTCCTCCAAACACCAACCACCTATCCTGAGTTCCGACACTCGCTCTGAGCGATACCTCGGCCTGTCGAGCAGTGTTATTGAGGAGTCGGCCTCGGAGGAAACTTCAGTCGGGGTGAACACTCGCCCCTTCGTGCAGCAGAGGCGGAAAGAAAAAGACCTCTTAAACTCACTACGTCTCTCTTACCCTCTTACCTCGTCTATCTTTATGGATTTTTTCTCCGACTGGACGAAATAACACTCTTATTATCCCGTTATACGCCTTCGAGTTTTTGTTTACAGGAGACTCATGTTGTTTCACCACGCCTCCATCGCCCCCCCCCACCCTTTCGTGGTTTTAAGGTTATTCTTGATGACAGCCTCCGTGCTCAGGCCTCATTCACAATGCAAACTTAAACGTGAACATAATGTAGTCGCAAAACCTATTAAGGAATTATTAAGCGAGGCTAGAGTTCACAAGCACCAAGCTTTTACATTAAGTTTACGTCGGAATTCTTCTGCAAGCAATCAGAGCAGAATGAAAGAAACAAACATGGTGGATTTCAGAGCGGTTCAGGTAGTTTGTTGATGTTTTCTTCATTAGTTTTGAACTGAACTAGTTTGCAAACGTTTTTCATGCGAGTAGTTAAATCAAAGTAAGAATTTGGGCAATTTTTCTTACGACTCGTGAACTTGATACAGGAGAATCCTTGTTTATAAAATAAAGGACATGCAAACACAAATACAACTGCCACTCGAATTTTTATATAAAGTCGAAGAAGACTAGAAACCACGGTGAAAAGATCTCTCCACCATGCTAGAAGCGAAACGACAAGATTCAATACGTTGAAATCTGATTGGCTCAGGCGAAACTTACGTTGCAGCTTACGTTGTCATTGTGCAGCGTGCTGACTGGTCGGCATTCCAAAATTATGTTAACCGGCCAGATGGTCCCTTTGCTAATGTGGATGAAATGACTGCACATTTTATAGCGCTATTTTTCCTGCTCACGCAATTCCAAAATCAAACGGTAAACCATGACACCATTTTGCCCCGTGGTGGAATGTGAACTGTACTATAGCTGTGAAAAAGCACTGGCACAACTGAAACATACGACTGTGGAAAACATCAATCATAAAAGATTCAGGGCGAAGGCGAGAACAATTTTACAGAGCAAAAAATGCATCGTGCGTGTGTCCCCCACCTGAATTGCCACACGCCACCACGTCCGGTGTGGAGAAGAATTCGCCGGTTAAAAGGACACTCTTCGTCGAAGACGGTGCCGAGTCTCCTTAAAAATGGAGAGATGATCACTTTTCGAAATGTGGTTGTAGAGGAACTCACTGCACACACGTGGCAAATATGACAAGTTGGACGAACTCCGCCTCTGACTTTCTTTTGGTTAAAGAGAGGCTGGAGAGTCGCCCTTTGGAATCTTCTAGTAGAGCGTCTGCCGATTACAACATCCCTTTCTCCATGTTCGAATTGCATTCTGCTCTCGCGTTGCCGAAAATGACTGTTTCAGGTTTTGATGGAATTCACAACCAAATGCTACAGCATCTTTCTGATGTGGCGATGCAATTTCTCCTCCGCCTGAACAATCGCATAGGGGAAGAGCACACCATCCCTGCTCTTTGACGAGAAGCCATAGTTATCCCAGTTCTAATGGATGCCACGCAGAGGGGATCGCGTGTGCGTTGGTAGGCACGATCTCTGGTGGAGAGCTGCAGACGACCACCCGCACCCTGCAACTCATGCTGCTAGCTTCAAGCTAGAGGCAGTGGGTATGCAGTGATCAGGATGAAATAGATTTAATTAATTAAATAAATGCGAGTTTAATCTATTGGACAAATATCTTCATCTTCGAAAGTTTCTCATTCTTAATTTAATCGTTATATTCAAAGGTTTACCATTCTGTTAACTGTGATAAGCTGTGAAAGGTTTACCATTCTATGATTAATAATAATAATAATAATAATAACAATAACAACAACTCCATCTGGGGAGTACATGACCTTGACTTTGGTGATGGAGCTTGAGTTCCCCCGTGTCCCTGAGAGCTATGCCGGCGGTAGCGTAGCTATTGGTAGGGCCTCCCAAGCCGACAGGCCGAAGGAGAGGAGTGAGACAAAAAAGTCCAGAAGAGGATCGAAGGAGGAAACTCCAGAAGAGGACCACGCTGAGAAGATCTTCAGCAATGCGGATATGGCGGAGAGGTGAGGCGTCTGTTTCCCGTGTTAGGGGTGGCTGTAGCTCTAATGGTGGCAGTAGCTCTAAAATGCAACAGCCCAAAAATGAGTAGACGATTCTTGATAAATAGAGTCGCGGGCGATCGGTCTTTGCAGGACCGCGCAGAAGGTTCCGACACAGGACCTTCTGTGTCAAATGTGTTACCAGTGTCAGTGGATAGCGGTTGACCAGGTACAGATGATACCAGGCGCGGCGCCGCGCCACTCATGGCGACCGCAGAGAATACAACTCAATTTGTCTCAGGGCGAAGTGTCTTGAGGACAGTGCCATCTGAAGCATCCTTCTCCGCTTGAAGTCAGTGTGGCCAACGCATGAAACGGTCGAAAGAGATAAATGTCTCTGTAATGTGTGCGTATTATAGAAGTGCAAGAGTGGAGGCAGTAAGTGTAGGATACAGAGCAAGGATGCACGCCGAATCGAAGAAAATCTATCCCAACAGCATCCGTGATGAGCAACGAATATGTAGTCAATTGAATTCTATTCGAAGAAATGCATTGTCATCTGCTGAAATGGAACTGATAAAGCAACAAGTGAGCATGGAAATGCGGGGAAACGGGACACAAACTGAAGCCCAGGTTGAGGAACTGGAGACAGATCACTCGGAGGGGGAACCTGAAGTTGAAGTCCAGCAAGCAACACCAAGACATGACGAGGATGCTATTGTCAGTAATCTGAAGGAAAATTATCAGAAGTATAATATTCTATACCAAGGGACACCCCTTGATCTTCGACCGCGTATACCAAAAATTGCGGGAAATAAGACGTTTTACGACGCTTGTAGAGAAATGAATACCATCTTAGAAGAACTAACCCTCACACCTAATTCTCTGGAGGATCTAGCTGGGGAAGTGCATAGCTCTGCCTTAGCCGTTTGTAGGAGTATGGGGAGAGAAATCGAAAATAACAATAAAAGGTCGGTAACTTCTTCCGCATTAAAACCCGACAATATTCCATTATGGAAGAAACGAATCCAGGATAAAATGAAAAGGCTAGAAGAGATATTGGTCATTTAACGCAGTATTTTGCAAAGAAGGGAGACATTTCTGAGAAAATGAAAACGGGAATTAAGTCAATAGTTAGGAGACTGAAAGTTAAAATGAAATCCAGAAATCTAGATCAAAAGCTGAAAGAAGAAGATGAGAGACTTAAACAGAGAATTGCGACTCTAGGAGCGAGAATTAGACGGTACAGTAAAGCATAATAAAAACGCCAACGGGAATCAATGTTTGCAGACAATCAGAAGAAATTATACAGACAACTGGAAGATGGCGATGGGGAAGAACCGAGGAGTCAACCAGTGTGTGAGAATGATATGGTTCAATTCTGGTCCGAGATATGGGCAGTACTTCGCCAACACAATGAACAAGCATACTGGCTTCATAATGACATCGAAGCGTGGCGATATGTAAATGAAATGCCAACAGTAATGGTTACCGAAGACGACGTGAGAACAGTTATAAACAAGACAAAACTGGAAAGCTCCTTGCCTAGATGGAATTCATAAGGTTTGGTGGAAATACTTTACGGCTCTCCATCCACACATAGCTAGACTTTTTAACGATACCTTGAAATATCCATCCAACCTCCCTAAATATCTGTTGATGGGTAAGACATTTATGATGGCCAAATCAGGAGATAGTCTCCAACCCAAGAACTACATGCTTGTCAACGTTATACACAATTTTGACTGCTATTATATCTTCTAAAATTAATGAACATCTCGTAGACCAAAATATTTTACTTCCTGAACAAAATGGTAGTAAAAAGGGAACCAGAGGATGCAAAGAACTATTGGTTGTAGATACTGTAGTTACTCAACAAGTCCTTAAAAGACTTCATGATATATCTGTGGGGTGGGTGGACTATGAAAAGGCTTTAGATTTTGTGCCTCATTCATGGCTTTTGCGTATTCTAGATATCTATAAGATTGACCTGGCAATAATAAATTTTCTCTCTGTGTGTATGTCTGAATGGAAGACTTCTTTATAAGTTAGGCAAGGTCGTTACTCCTATGTGACCAGGGAAATTAGGATTCGCCGAGGTATGTTTCAGGGCGATAGTTTGAGCCCTCCTTGGTTCTGCATCTCTCTAATTCCACTGATTAGAATGATGAGATAAACTAGATATGGATATCGTATGAAGAGAAACTAACATTTCGCATATCACACCAGTGGATGGACTTAAATTATATGCATCTAATAAATATCAACTACAGAGTGAAAATGTAATTGTCCAAAACTTCAGCAATGATATCTGCATGGATTTTGGCTTGCATAAATGTGCGACGTTGCATGTAAGACGTGCAAAAACTAAAAATCATGAAGGAGAATTACAACTCTCCAGGGACACCGTTCAAAACCTTGGAAACGAAGACTTATAAATATCTAGAGATGTTGCAACTATTGGAAATAACTGATTCAAATGCCCGGAACAGGATACAAAAGAAAGTGGTAGCCAGAGTTAATTAAATCTGTGAGACGAATATCAACTAAAAAACAAAATTTCTGCAATAAACACATGTGCTATCCCTGTAGCTTCTTACTCCTTTGGAGTGATAAAATGGTCGGATACTTCTCTCCAAACCTTTGACAGAAAACTCAGAACGATACTCACTAAGCATCGACTTCATCCTCATAGTTCGACACGGATGATATATTTATCTCGAAACGATGCAGGCAGAGGATTGCTTAGTTTACAGACACTATGTCGTCAGCAGGAAGAAAAACTCCGTCAGTATTTTCTTTCAATGGACACCCCAACCCATATGGCAATATGCACGCAAGATAAACGTATCAGTCCATTAAGTCTAGCCCAAGAAAACAGCGAGTTCCTTCACTCGACAAGGGATGATAGAATTGATATCTGGAAGACGAGAGAATTGCATGACCGGTTTAGAGCAACATTGATATCTGATGAAATTGATCTGAGATGGTCCACAGAATGGCTGCGAACAGCGGGACTCTATGGTGAAACTGAGGGTTTCCTCTTCTCTATTCAGGACCAAGTGATAAAGACCAGAGCATATCAAAAATATATCTTGAGCCAACAGATTGATAGCAAATGCCGATTATGCAGAAATACCAATGAGTCTATCCAGCATATAGTTGCCCATGCTTAGCTCAGACTGAATACTTGCAACGGCATAGTAATGTAGCGAAAGTAGTTCACCAAGCGCTTGCAAAGAAATACCACATGGTTGAACAGAAACAACCATATTATAAATGTAAGCCTGAACAAGTCATCAGTAACCATCAGGCGCGAATTTTATGGGACACGACAATTATAACCGACAGAACGGTTGAAGCGAACAGACCTGATATTGTACTGTTTGATAAATCAGCGAAAACAGCGATTATTGTCGATGTAGCAGTTCCTTCAGATGAAAAGCTGATATCAACATTAGCAGAGAAAAAACGAAAATATCAACCACTGGCTGTCGAATTAAAGGATATGTACAGACTCCGAGGAGTAGAGATAGTACCTGTGGTGGTGTCCGTAAATGGTGTAGTTACGAAGATTGGCAGAAAGCTGGAGAAATTCTACAATTATAACAAAAACATCTGAGAACTATGCAGAAAGCTGCTTTACTTGGGACAGCGAACATTGAGAATAGAGAATAATTGGGAAGTGCTTGATCTGTGGACTTTACCTTCTTTGTACTTCCATAAATATTATACAGACAAATTTTGTCTTAGGCAGTAACCCCGACATCTTTTGTATTAAAAAACGGTAAATAATAATAATAATAATAATAATAACAACAATAACATTTATTGAGTCACATATACAATTACAATCGTATATGATGAGTCAATTATGAAGTATTTAATGTGTTATAAATGTACTTTCCTAATTTCAGGGAACAATAGGGAATCTAAAAAAGCTTACTGTCTCTCCAGCCCCCTATGTCCCTCTCTTCTAACGCCAACTACTTGATTATAGTGAAAATATAACTAGTTTTAAAGAAAAAAGAACATTTCACTGCCATAAAGTGTACCATAGACAAATTATGATGTGGGTGCTCTGTGAATGTGTACAAAAAAAAGTTTTAAAACCATAGAGGAAAACCCAACGAAGATTGATCTCGACATACTAAAAGAAAATCATATCACATATACCATATTTTAAACATTAATTCGTGTCATTCAGCAACGAATACTTGATACTAGCAACCCATTGGCGAAGGGGCGAAGTGTCAGAAATTATATTCTTTTTGACCGTGGCCTTCTTCGTTATAGTTCTAATAAGTGACACGTGAATGCGCCGTAATCGGAACGAAGGTTTGCGGACTATGGTTAGTTGTGGTAATTTAGAATCGAAGTTCTGGTCAAGTCCTGTTGTTTATGTTGGGGGATAACATAATTTAAACGATTTAAGAGATTAATATTTAATAAGATAGATGTGTGGTCGTTAATTGTCATTTTGTGGTTTTATTTGTGTGTATTTTAGCACTCAACATGTCTATTGAGATCGAATCCGCAGAGTAAGTTGTTTTCCTGTCATTGTTAATCTGAATTTCAGTGCTTTTCAGTCATAATATGTCGACATGTCTGTATTAAATATTTTTATTTTAGTGTTATTAGGTTGATTCAGCAATATTTAAAGGAATCGAATCTGTTGAGAACGCTGCAGGTGTTGCAAGTAAGTGACCGAAAAAATCTTTCACTTATGAAGCTTCCAATGTAGTGTGTTGATTAATACGACTTTATTCAGGATGAAACGGGAGTCTCCCTTAACACAGTGGACAGTGTTGAAGGATTTGTTGCAGATATAAATAATGGCCACTGGGATACAGTACTTAAAGCTATTCAATCATTGAAGTTGCCCGATAGGAAACTTATTGATTTGTATGAGCAGGTAAGTTAGAAATAAAATTGCTGTATTTTACTCATTTGTTATTATTTGATTATGTTTTAAAACCATTCTTGTCATACAGGTAGTTCTTGAGCTCATTGAATTGCGAGAATTGGGTGCAGCTCGTTCTCTATTACGGCAAACAGATCCAATGATAATGATGAAACAACAAGAACCAGAAAGATATATTCATTTAGGTAATAAAAGTAATACATTTTGGTTGATTGGAAGTTCGTGGTGTCACGGTTCCTGTAGTTTTGACTTCCATCTACCTGCCATATGATTTTTAAGATGAGTTTTTGCATAAAATGCATTGGTAATTATGCGTTGGACAGACTGAAGGATGTGTTATGTTAACTCGAAGGTCTGACCTCGTCCTCAACTTGGACACACGTAGCGAAGCGTCACAATTTTGCGCATGTGAACTGTGACACTGCCAACTTATGATTTACCTACATTTTTGTGGTAGTTAACAATGTATTAGTGTATATTTTTATAATCTATTTCAGATATATGTCTTCTCTCCTAACTTAACTTTGTTTTTATGTTCATTTTCGAGTTAAAAAATGTGATTATTATTTCTCTGTTAATGATAATTAAAAATTATGTTTATTACTACCCTTTTGAGGTAGGTAGTGTTAAGATGAGCCCAAATATTATATAGATTGTAGTTGGTTCATATTGTGATCAGGATCTAGAAACATAGACCTCATTTGAAGCACATATTCTCATAAGTGCAATAGTCTCTTCAGTACATGTGTATATGGCGGTAATTTGAATATTAACGACCTGAGAGAGTTGTTAAAAATTACAATTGTGTAATTTTGGAAATACAAAAGAATGCAGTAAAATGACATTTATGTCATTGTTTACAGTACACTTAGTATTAACCTTGCTAAAAGTTTAAGAAAAAAAGCAGTGTTTTTGAGACACTCTTGTTTTTGATATTTTTTAATGCTGTCCTTATGTCACTAAGTACGGCATAAAAATTGTAAAATTTTCAACGAAATGTGCATCATGTAAGCATAAGAGCTAATTGTAGAGAACAAATTTCATTGGATCAAAAATTCTCTATCTTTAATATTGTAATTGCCAGCAAACTCCGCAAAAAATTCAAACTTTCGAAATTTTAGAGTTAACAGTGAAAATTGGACCTACGCCATCCTTATAAGTGTATTTCACTATATCGTGATCGAAATATTTATTTTCGGGAAAATCCTACAGATAATTTAGACACTAGCACAGTGTTCACAAGCGGATGGACAAATGTTTTGCTAAGACAAAAAAAAAAAAAATTGTTATTGGGAGATATAAGACGTGTATTTCTGTTGAAATCTCAAAATCGAGACATTGGCTTGGAACCGCCTTTGAAACATGATGTGAATGTTTATCCAATTTTTTGACATAATAATGTGTTGGAATTTAAGAATTTCCAGGATCAAAGTTACTTTGGGTTACGTTTACTTGCCTTTTATGTAAAATAAAACAATACAAGGAATGCATTGTGTCTCAAGTAAAGTAGTTAAGGCTAAATAGCGGTTTATATATGGCGAGACTCAGGACCATGAGGCCTGCTTTTCTGTCTTATTAGATTCTATATTTCCAAGGTAACTCAGGCTGATATGATTTAAAAGAATGACTTGAATCATGATTTAACTTATTATTTAAATATATATATATAATGAACTGAATCATGATTTAACTTATTATATAAATATATATAAATATATATATATAAATATATATATATATATATATATATATATATATATATATATATATATATATATATATATATATATATATATATATATAAAATAAAAATTACATAAAAAGACTTAAATCAATTACAAAGTTGATATAAAGAATATATTTCTTATAAACTTTTTCACATAATTGAACAATTATAAGAAAATAAAATACAATAAAATGAACAAACTTATGAAACAAAAAACCAAAAACAATTTGTAGTCTAGCTATATACTAATAGACTTAGATAATGGATTAGTTTTCATCCAGCATTTAATTGTGTGTAGATAAAACTAATTTAGCAGCAATACAGCCCTAACATCCATGAGCTAGTTTCAAGAAAGCTTCAACAGTGATCAGAATTCTGTATTTGTATTAAAATGCTTCCTAAGCCACTTACAGAATTGTATTAATACTCATTTAAAAATGAAAACTAGTATTGTTAAAACTAATGAAAACCATAGTTAATATAGTTTCAATAATATTAACCTTTTTCTTTATGTACATATTGCTAAAATTCCATTTTAAGTGGGAAGCATACTTCCCAGTGACCATTAAAGGGTTAATGGGAAAGTGCGCTACTAACAATCATTACACCTTATATTTTTTGATTACTGGACAACTATTAAATAGAATTTAATATTTCAAAAACTGTCTAACATTGTTATAAGTTTTTTGATGATTTCAGTGGTTTTCAACAATATTTCGTTGTTCAGTAGGTTTTTGATTAGGGCGGGATTACACACAAAAATGTTAAAATTTATTTGAATGAAGAATGCCTTTTTCCTAAATCATGCCAATAGGTAGTGCCACAAGCTTATTCAGTAGTATGGGCACAAGGGAAGTGTTTCAAGAGCTCAAAACTATAAACTTAAAGATATTGTGAGTCAGGGTGGTATTGCACCGGTCCCCTCAAATATATAGTATATTTATTTTTTTATAATAAAATTTCAATAACTTAATGATAAATTTGAAATATGATGTTTTAATAAACTCTGCTTTTAAAGTAATTAAGGATAAATAAATTACTTATGGATTTTGGTGTAAAGTAAAAACATCTAATTCAGTTTAAAAATATGTTGATTTAATTAAAATAATATATTAACTTACATTACCCTTCGTTCTAACATTGACAAATTATTACTATTATTAATATAAGGACATTAATAAACTAAACATTGACTTAATAACGTATGCATAACAGTATTGACATAGTAGTATGTCACGTTGACATTTGTTGTCGTATGCTAATATTTATACTGTAATTAACATACTAACATGAACATATAAATGTTAACATAGTAACATTAACAGACTAACACTAAATAGAAAAGGTGGGCGAAAAATTTATAATTATGTCTGGAATTGCAAACGGATCATTCCACCATATGCCTTAAGTGATTGGGAGAAATCCAGATAAAACCTCAATCAGGGTAGTGGCTTGTGGATAATCGTACAACATACAATGAAAATGGTAAAAAACAAAAAGAATAAACAACTGAATTAAAAGTAACGTAATATACAAGTTAAGACATGAGTTAAACAAAAATATTTTAAATTAAGTAATATTAATTTTAAAAAAAAAATTATAAATTTGAATATTATAAGAAAAATATTTCTAAAAATTCAAGAATTAAATCAGTTTCTGTGAATGTAGACTTCACTTAACTTCATGTAAAAATCGTGATGAGCAATTACGTCCGTGCAAAACTATGTGCAGATATACCCAGTTTATGCAAATTTTTCACATATCTTCAACTTGCCAAAAAGCTTGGAAGAGAAAAAAACATCATTAGTGAGAACAATCAATCCGATCCGTTGAGAAATCCTTGATGAGTTGAAGTGTAATGCTGAACTTCATTTGTCTGTTATTTTACTACACACTACAGGCAACACAAACTTGACAGTGTATCAATGAAGAAAAAGAACGTCGTGCTTCTCAGCACACATCATCGTGAAGTAGCTGTCAGGAAGGATGAAGGAAAAAAGAAACCGGCCACTGTGATGTTCTAGAATGCCACAAAATATGGGGTAGACATAGTAAACCAAATGACTAGGAAATACACCATCAAAGCAGCATCCAAGAGATAGCCAATACACGTTTTTTATAATATATTGGACATTGTTTCAATCAGTGCTTGGAGTTTTACAATCATGTAACTAGTGAAAAGATGAAAAGGAGAAAGTTAATTCTTCAACTGTCTAGTAAACTGAAGGGAGGAGATTTGTCAGAGATGTACATAAAGGAGAAGGAGAGACTAGTACTGGAGCCATCCAAAAAGTCAAAAGAAGTGCGAGATCGGCTTATGCAAAACCTACTAAACCAGCAATTTGTGTGAGAAGTGCCGTAAAGCCAGCGTTTGTGGAATATGTGCCAAAAGAGGAAATGAGTTGCAAAAAAATGTGTTTAGATGTGTAAGAAAAATATACTCACCAGAAAGGTCCATTTTGAAAATCAATTCGAATTTCAATACATTGTATTCATGGTATTAAAGTGACCCCATCCCGCTGTTCAAGTGTATCAGAATCACTGTCATTCTAGTGTTAAATCTGATTTAAATTTAAACCATTTGATTTTTTTTATTCATAATTTTTAGAAATTCTAATCCACAGTATTGAGGATGCTGAGAAATTAAGATTTCTGCATTTTTCAACTAACAAATAATGACACTATCAAAATCCTTACTAGAATAAAGTAACATTTATAATCCTGTACTATTACTGCCGTCTAAGCATGTCTCAAATCTTCAGTCATTTTCAGCGAGACTGTTTAGATGCTCCTGTCTGGTCTAAATTCTTTTTGATAAGCATTGACTTATTGGTTTCAGTTAATTAAAAAAAATTACCTATGAATGATTTTCACTAGCATCTCAAACAATGTTGGTAAAATGCTGATTTACAGACAGCATTTGGAAAATACACACAAATGTGCTTTCAGAGGATAGATAATTATCCTCCAGGGGCATATCAAACAGATTTTAGATGAAAATGCCAGAATTTGATGATTATGCCATTTAAGAGGAAGAAATTTGTGCAAGTCAGATAGTATGTGATGATAATTTTTATTATTATTAAGTTTTTTTTAACCTTTTTTTAGTAATATTGTGAATTTATAATTTATTATTGTAGATTAATTTTATAGTGATGTATTTGTGAAAGAGTTAAAATAATGGAGGAGCTAGGTACATCAACAGCGTAAGTCGATTAGTACCAAGTTACAAGGATATTGAGTTAAATGATGTGAGACCTCCAGATGTAAAAACACAAAAAAGGGGAGATGTGCTGTTGCTGACGGTTACTAAAACCTTAAAATGTTGAATGATATGAAAAGATCTTATCTTATGAGGCAATGTCTTCTAAAAATGAATTCGATTATGGCTATGATGAATAGTTGTTTTCAGAATTTGGTTAATTACATTAAAAAATCCATTCTCTTCAAATCCCACATCACTTTCCATTGAACTTTACCTGAAAACTCATTTGAACTAATATTTTGACAGACTACCTCCATTCCATTGCCATAACAGTGAATAATATATAATTTTTAATAAAATATATCTTAAAAACTATCTTGAATTTTTACACAAATTCCACTCTATTTATGTATTTAATTATTACAACAAATGTAACATTTGACACTAACTTGAATAGTACATAGCAATTAAATTTTCAAACTTTGACTTCAGATTTCTCCAAGGAATGTAACCCCACTTATGCAGTTGTTGTATCTAGCTCCTCAGTTATTTTGAAGTAGAAGAATAGTTGTATCTTTTGTAAAAAGGTTTATTAAAAATTATGAATTAATTTTCTTCTCCTTGAATTGAGAAGAGTTTTTTTTTATATTATTGCATAAATATATGAAATTGACAAGTAGTAATGAAATTCATTTCTTAAGATATCTACTTTCTCCTGATGAAAATTGAATATTGATTTTTATTTGTGATATCTGTGTATAGGTTCACTGATTTATAGTATAGACAATTTTTTAAAATATTATTATTTATAAATTGTTTAAATTTTCATTTTGTCTTGATGTATTATTTTCTTAGTTTGCATAGTTAATTCATACAGAAATGATCTGATTAAAATTCAGATAACTTGCTGGAACGATCATATTTTGACCCAAGAGAAGCCTACCCTGACGGTAGCACTAAAGAAAAGCGACGAGCTGCTATAGCACAAGCATTAGCTGGTGAAGTGTCAGTGGTGCCATCATCGCGTTTGTTGGCATTACTTGGTCAGTCACTAAAATGGCAACAACATCAAGGACTTTTACCACCTGGTGGGTATTGAAAGCACATAATTGATGGTTTATTGTGCAGTATTGAAAACTTGAAACTGTTTTAATATAGATATTTGTTTATTAGTAATATTCATTTATTGGTTCATATTAATTAATATTCAATCATTTGTGATTTTATTATTTATATGTCTATTACATAATGAACATAATTTCATGAATTGAGTATGAATGGGAAGATTGAATGATTTTGCCATTTTCTTTTTATAAATATATATACATAATAAATACTTAAATATATGCACATAATTAGAAATAAATTCTTAAGCAATTCATATCTATACATATATTTCAGTTACATATATTTCTTTGTAGGTACAACAATTGATTTATTTCGTGGCAAGGCTGCGATGCGAGATCAAGAAGAAGAAAAATATCCTACTCAGTTATCCAAACAAATTAAATTTGGTCAAAAATCTCATGTTGAATGTGCAAGATTTTCCCCTGATGGGCAATATCTTGTTACTGGTTCTGTTGATGGATTTATTGAAGTTTGGAACTTCACTACTGGTAAAATTCGAAAAGATTTGAAGTATCAAGCCCAAGTAAGTTAAAAATAATGAGTTCTTCTTGTATTTTAAAAATGTTAATTCCTTGTTGTCATACAAGGTGTTATTTTGTTTTTCAATTTTATCAAATTATCCTTTGTTTCAAAACACATTGATTGTGAAGGTGATAGTTTGCTTTGCGTTAGTCAATAGAAACTTTATTTAAGTTATGTGTTATTATTCCACATCATTTTTTAAGTTTACCAATTTTGTTGTTGTGTAGGACAATTACATGATGATGGAAGAAGCAGTTTTATGCATGGCTTTCAGTAGAGATTCAGAGATGTTAGCATCTGGATCTCAAGAGGGAAAAATAAAAGTTTGGAGAATTCAAACAGGTCAATGCCTACGTCGATTTGTCAAAGCTCATGCTAAAGGAGTCACATGCTTGCAGTTCTCTAGAGATAACAGTCAAGTGCTTAGTGCATCTTTTGATGCCACAATAAGGTCTGTCTTTTCACCTCATAACACACCAAACAGTTATCAACTGTTTTTTTGATTAATTACAAGTCTTCTTATTAATTGTGTTTTTTAATGCATGTTTTAGAATCCATGGTTTGAAATCAGGGAAGACCTTGAAAGAATTTAGAGGTCATGGTTCCTTTGTCAATGAAGTAGTGTTTACTCCAGATGGTCATAATATACTGAGGTGTGTATTGTTTATGTATATGATAAATTGAATTTTTATGTTACGAACAATTAACTTTATTGTATTTGAATCAGGATTTGAAAAATAATTACACTCTGTGTTGTTTTCCACAAAATTAATTAGTTACATAGAGATTTCAGTTTTTTACAAGTTTGTGTGTGTGTTTTTGTTGTTCTTGAAATAGTATTCAGATATATAGAAAGCTTTTTTGCTTTGTTTACTGATATTTGGTATGTAGAATCTTGAATTCCAAATGCAGTGGTTCCCAAACTTCTATGATTATGAAATCCTTGGGAAGAACTCTATCTTCCATGGAATCCACTTAGTCTCTCAATTATCTGTTATTAAGCTTTATAAGTTCATGTCATTTATCTTCAACAAAACTTCTAAATACCTTACTGAGTAAGAGTTAAAAGGTTGTTAGAAATGCCAGGCATTTTTCTAGTAAGTGCAGGAAGAACTTTTTCACAACTTCCAACCTAGAGAAAACAACTGTAACTAATTGATAGATGACTGAAAATAAAGTTTCATTCTTGGTGAGTGTATCTTTGAAGATAAACCAAGCTCTCCCTGTCATTGGATTAGAATTCTTGAAAATAAATTTAATGTTATATTTCCTTCTTAACTATTGGAATAATTACTGATATAATACAGATACAGACAGCCACCCCAATTGAAATATTGTGTCACTATTTTAGTTTACTTTAGTTCTACTGCCTTAGTATAACTGTAAGGTAGTGATATTTAACATGTGAGGCAGAACAGTGTTTTACTTATCTTAAAATAATTAAAACTTTCCTGCATGATATGAGCTGAATGACTGAAGAGAGATTTTCAGGTCTTGCGATGCCTTTGACGCAGGACTACTATTTACAATTTTAAGTAATTATAAGTAGAGACCGTATTTTTATGTAATTATACATTTTTGTCTTTGTACTTACCATTCCCAAAATTGTAATCTAGGTGAATCGTTGCTGTCTTAACAGAATATTAAATTTTTTTGTTACATATTTTTACATATTTACAACTGTCTTAAATATTTTGGTATTTTCGCAAAATATTTTTTATTCTATCAATTTTCTTCAATTTTATTACATTTTTTTAATGAAAAGAAGCATTTTTTAAATAAAAATCAGCCTTTTCCTCGACATTATTGCATTGTGGACTCAAGGTACGCTACATTAAGATGCGATTGGATGTTCTCAATGTCAGGTGAACATGCTAAGTTCACTCAGGGGCAGGAAGTGTGCATCAGTAACTCTAATCTTTTACACCTTTAGGTGTGAAGAGTATCACTAACGCCGCGTTTCGTGACCTCTAACTTTAATTTTCAAGAAAATTAGGCGATCATTGGCGTGTAACCCTTTGATGAGAATGCTGCACGCTGCAATGATTATTGGCTGGTCGTAGATATCACCAGTTTGTATGATGGCTTCTTTTGCCTCAAGTCTGGTGCTAAACTATGGTCGAGGATAGCAATAGATGAAGATTTTACTACTGACTGGAAAGTTGTATGGTACAAAGAGTGCATCAGCTTGCGCTCTCTAAATGAGATTTAAAACATGTGTATTATTTTTAATTCTTTTTAAGGAAACTTTTTATAAATGTAATTTCATGTTATGTAATGTGTTTACAATTAGTGTATTTTAATATTACTTAGGATATTTAGGGAAATACCGATTTTATTCTAGTGAACTTATTTAAAGGCTGATAATGTATGTGCCCATATCATGACAAATGATGTCATATGACAAAGTTTTACAATGCCTATTTTTGCTTTTTTAAAGTATAAATTCCTTTTTTTTGGTAAATACCTTTTTTAGAATTATTGGCCTTTTTTAATTTTTATGTATTATTTTTATTTACAATGCTAAGATATCAGAAATTTGGCCATGGTCCACCATTCATTACAAAAACTTCAATTCACATCTTTGTATTTTAAAAAATGGGAGAATTCCTAAAAAGTAACAGATTTTTAAAATAAATAAAACAGATTTTTCTCAATTCCCTATTTTACAAATACCATCCGTGCTTTGAGAACATGGTCGATTGACAATACACTGAGGGCACTTAAATTTTAAGTGGAAATAAATGAAAATTCCCAGATTGTAGTGTTGCTAAAGTTGGACTTCTAAAATTTATACCAGTCACATTGGTAGATGTTGAGAGATCCTTCTCTGTATTCAAACTGATTTTGTCCCTGTGTCGCTGCAAATTTGAAATTGTGATCCTTGAAAAGATACTGGTAATATATTGCAATACAAACTGTTAAGATTAAAATGTAAAAGAGCTTTAAATATGTAAATCTTGTTTTAAATTAAAATATTTGTACTTGTCTTGTGCATTTATTGCACAAAATAGTATAGTCAAAAATTACCCACAATTTTTCCTTTTATTGTATGTAACATAAGATAATGTCTTTTTTCTCCTTATTCTTGACATTTTCAGTGCCTTTTTAGGTGCCTAAACATTCGATGTCTAAATATTACATATTATATCCAATTTCATGTATTTATTACATATTCGTACAGATTTATTTACATGTTTTGACTTTTCATAATACATGTTTTTCTGATCTCTAATTATGAGTGACGTGGGAATGGGAAGCACATAAAACAAGTAAAAATAGTGTTGGCATCTGAGTGAATATTCCCCTCACCATCGTTATTTTGTGAACCATGAACATTTGGAAGCATGAATTGCTACTGCTTCATGGTTCACTTGTCTAGCATTTGGCTCAGTAATTTGGAAGGCCACGAATTCATCATGAAAAGTTGAATTTGATTTGTGTTTCAGTGCTTCTTCTGATGGTACAGTAAAAGTGTGGAGTATAAAGTCTACAGAATGTACCAATACATTCAAGTCTCTGGGTGCAGCTGATATTACAGTTAATAGCATACATTTACTACCTAAGAATCCAGAACATTTTGTTGTATGTAATCGATCAAATACAGTTGTTATAATGAACATGCAAGGACAGGTTTGTTTTTCAATTTTTTTCTGTACTTTCTTTTTAATTTTTGAAATGTTTAATGGGCTCTAATGACAAATTTAATTTTTCAGATCGTACGGTCCTTTTCCAGTGGTAAACGAGAAGGTGGTGACTTTGTGTGTGCTACCTTGTCACCTAGAGGAGAATGGATTTATTGTGTTGGTGAAGATTTAGTATTGTATTGCTTCTCAACTGCTTCAGGGAAACTGGAGAGAACTCTTAATGTAAGTGTTCTGAATGTACAATAAATGTTGTAGATCTTACTAAATGCTGAGTTATGATGTCAAACAAGGGCAACAATGTAATAAGACTTAGACTTAGAATTTTGGTACATTTGGCTGTTTATTGATAAGTCTTTTCAAGACTTCCATTTTTCATTTAAATTTGAGTTTCTTGTATTTTTTCTCATACCTATTTTTTAACATATTTTATACTTTCTTTACTACATACCAATGACTTACAAAATTAAAAAAGTATCAGCAAGAAATTAAAAGATTTCATTTCTTGCAAAATTCACTAACGAATTGAAAAAGATTGAATGTAAAAATAATAACATATCTTCTATAATATGATTGAACATTGTATGGAAATACTTCTCTATGTGTTATTTACGTCGTGAAATGTATTATAGGTTCATGAAAAGGAAGTTATTGGTGTTTCCCACCACCCCCATCAAAACTTGCTGTGTACATATAGTGAAGATGGATTACTGCGGCTGTGGAAGCCTTAAGATGATCATTCATCTCTATTCTTACTTAATGAGATCAATTCTGAAGAGGATAAAGAAAACTTTTATCAAGGAATTTTCTAGGTTGTTTAAGAGACAACTGTTGGTGATATTGTACTGTTTCGCCTCCAGAATGTGTTTCATCCATATTTTGAAATTAGTTTGAAATGTGCTACTAACGCATTCAGTCATCATATTCAGTTGTTTTTTGGTAAAGTACATTTATAAGATGAAGTAAAATTCTATTCCTGTAGTTTTGCTGAGAAAATGTGAAACTATTGCTATGAATAATTTATATTACATTGACATTTGTAAATAAAAATAGTTTGTATGTACTATTTGGTTCATTTATTATACATATGTTTTTCACTGTATTTCCTTTTTATTGTATTTAAATCCGTATGAAGAGTAACTGAAGGTGAAATTTTATATCAAATATTTTCCAAACTTTTTGCAATTGTTGACTTTCCTTTTACTCCCTCCTCATTTTCACTTTCTCTCATATTACATAAATAGTATATAGAAAGTTATGAAATGCTGGAGTGCAAATGGTGATTTTTTTGGCAGAAAAAGCTATTATTAGATCCCTGATTATAAAAAGGTGGTAATTCTTGTTCCTGTATGTAGTTAATAACTTCCTCTAACAGTTGTGAACTCGGAATCCACTTTTTGTGTTTCCTTACCGAAAAATTGGTTTACATAAACTGACTTGTCTAATAATCTGTGAACAATGTTAGCAGTGAACCATGAGGAAGACTTCCACCACAATTGATATTCCCCAATTCACTGGGTGATGTCATGTCCTCTTGAATTTGATTTTGGAGGTAACCTACGGCATTTCCAAAATGTTATTACAAATGGCTCCAAATTTTATCTTCAATTTTTTTTTTTTTTTTTTTCAGATTGAACTAGTAAGTATGCTTATAAAATGGCACATGTCTGTTACTCAATGAATTCTCTAAAGTTTCTCAAACAGCAAGAGCTAACATTTCTCGCTGTTATCCTGCAGCTACAACAGTGAAGATGGGCATATTTTTTCTTATTGAAATCTATTCAAAATGAGATCTTGAAATAATAATGTACAATTTTAATACTGTACATTCTCAACATTATGTACAAAATTAGATCTTTTAAATAAGGTCACGTACAATTTTTCAAAACATAGATTTTATGTAATTTTGCATGAAATGTACAATAAAAACATGATTTTTCTCAAAAGTGACCCCCAATTTTTTCATTTCTTGCTGTGGAGTAGAGAGAGTTATGTAATGCTCCACAGAAAAACTGCAAATTTTTGGCAGAAGAACTCTTATTACAAGACCATAGTAATAAGAAAGTGAATGAATACAGTTGCTAAATTTAGAGAAAAAAATACTCTATCACTTGGTGAAGCCGGAATGTTTTGTGGATCCTTCATACTGAAAATTCCAATGATGGCAAAACGGCTATCCATCTGTGAACAACGCCACCGGCTAAACCGTTCAGCCAATTTTTTCGAAAATTGATATCGATCTGGTTGATGCTGCGGCCTCTTGAATTTGAAACTGATATTTTAATTTGGGGGTACTTAACATCAAGCCTCTGGGACATTTTCCATATTTTCAAAAAAATGGCTCCATTGTTTTTAATTAAATTTTTTTGGATAGTGTGAAGGATGTTTAAGAGAATGGTGCAGGTCTCATGCTCATTAAAAACCCTAATTTTTTGAAAAATGCAAAAGTTTGAAATTTTTTCAGCATCTTCCTACATCTAAAATATTAGAGATTTTTTGCCTTAACGAAATCTGTTCCTTAACGATAGATTTTGAAATAAGGTTGTGTACAATTTTTTGAAAATATAAGTACTTTCTTGTGCGGTTTTGCATGAAAGTACAGGCTGTTTTATTAATGATTTACTAATGGTTAAGTATGTGCTGTTTAAGAACCACTACTTCTTTAAACTTTTTGAATTGGTAGAACTAATGACAAAAATGTTATTTCAAATGTATATTCGGTTAATATTATATGTAACCATTTTAAAGAGTGTAAGAAAGTGATGTGCTAATTTAGCTTCACTAGTTTACTTTCTTGCCTACTTATGTAGTAAAGAAAAACTCATATTGCTGGTTCCTGTTATTGAAAAAGTGGATAATTCTTGCCCTTGTATGTAGTAAATTACTTTCTTTATTACATTGTGCAATCAAAATTCTCATTTTGTGGGTCCTCAATTCTTAAAATTTGGATTACAGCAAAAAATTGTGTGTCTGTCTGAAGATGAAATTAATACATACCGAAATTGTTCATTTAATTTTTTTGAAAATTAATATGTATATTTGGCTGAACTTATAGCCCAGTGAATTTGAAATAGATGTTTTGATTTTTGGGGTTTCTTTACTTGTGGCCTTCACATTTTCAAAATTTTCTGAAAACTGGCTTCATGTTTTTTCTTAATTTCTTTTATTTTGGATGGAGCAAAATATGATTATAAAAGTGGTGTATGATTTTTTTCTGAACCCTCTAAATCGTCGAAAAATTGCAAAAGTAAAATTTTTTCTCTCTCTTCCTACAACTACAGTGTTGAATATTTTTTTTAATAGATTCTGTTCTTCTGAATTAGATCTTTCAATATGGTCAAGAACAATTTTTTTAAAATCTAAGTAGTTTTCTCGTAATTTTGCATGAAAGAAAGGCAATTTTAAGAACCAGAATTCCTCAAATACGGTACCAAGTTGTTTTCTTTCTCTCGGAGGGAGTAAAGCATGCTATCATGCAGGTTTGATTTTGTTTGAACTGTCTATATTTTCAAAAAGTATTAAAACATAAAATTTTTAACATCTCTGCAAACACAGAATTAAATAATTAGATTTTTTCTTAATGAAATCTGGTCTTCAAAATGAGATCTGTAAATGTCATGGATGCATTAAAAAAAAATCACATGTTCAATTTTCTTTTTAAAGCATCGGATGGTTATTTTATAGTCTGAGCCATTAGATGTAGTGGATGTGATGATAGCTTAAGTACCTAAGGGTGAATAGCAAGGTGAGCAAAAATATTGCAGATTGGAAACAGTAGTGTGTTCAAGTAGTATTGTATTACATAACCGTTAAAAATAATAAGAGAAAGTATATGCTGTTGTATCATCACTAGTTTATTATTATTTTTGGGACTTAATCCTTTATGAAAATAACAAAAGAAACCGTGACAAAGACAGTAGTTCATTGCATTTGAATTCAATTGTCACTGCTGTCAATTCCAGACGTAACATACCGTTTGGCAACAAATTACTAAGGCTTAAAAATATGTTGCAAATTATGAGTTGCATAAATTCAAATAGTTTTTATGTGAACTTGGTAATCGAGGAGTTTAATTGCCATCTCCATTTTGGCATAAAAATTCATTGAAAATGAAGTGTAGGTGGTACTCTTTTTCTAGATATGCAGTGCCCTTACATTAGGAGTCATATTGGTCATTTTGATTTCTCATAGTATGGTGTGTATTCCTTAACAAGAAATTATCTAAAATGTTTGAATTCGATGAAAAAGGGTTTTATATTCATTCTGAAACAATCTATATGAATACGATTCCATTTTTCTTTTTCATTTTAAAATAACACAAAACATTACTATGTAAATTCATCAGTTTTGAAAGTGAATGTAAATCGTGCATAGACTTTCTAGTGTGTGTATGTGACTTCAAATTGAAAGTGCTGTATCTACGGACAATGTCACAATACTGTGGCAGATGCCACATCATGACAACCTGAAACAAAATAAGAAAGTCAATAAAATTACCTAGGTCTATTTGTAAGTGAATCTAATTGCAATTAGAAAATTTCATACCAAAAACAGTTTTTCAGTTTTGGTATGAAATCTGCTAATCATACCTCCCAAAGGTAATAAAGAGCCTTCACATTGTCCGGATGGCTGAGATCGTTAAGGCAGTAGTGTCGTACCGATCTCAAACTGAAGGATCGTGGGTTCAAGTCCCGCCTTGGGCATGGTTGTATTTGTTTGTCCTTTCACCCCCTATCATCACCATATCATATCATTTTCATAGTTACCATAACGTTAAATCCATTAACGGTCGCTAATGACCTAGCCGTTGATGTGCCCTTAAATACTTCCCCCCCCCCAAATGTCTTCACACTCACCAATGCTATTGAATTCAAATTTCTTTGAAAAACTGCTGAAAAACAAATTACTAGCATTAAAGATGAGTAAGGGATCAGTGAAACGTGCACAATTTTAAGAATTGTTCTCAAGATAAAATTTGTTTTATATTACTTAACATTGATAACATGTGAATTTTCATTAGAAATGAATTTTGATTGCAAAAAAAAAAAAGACAAGAATTTTGCATTGTACTGTTTTAAATAATTGTATTGACTCTCAAGACAAGTAAATCAATTTTGTATGACTGTCTTACATATAATACAAATAAATCATTTTATGTAGAACCTCTAGCTTCATGATGCAACTCTCCTTTTTCTTCTTGAAACTAATGTTTTTGTGTCCTAGTTCTTGTTTATGTGCTTTGAAATGATATTCAAGTTCATTTTCATGTGTACACATGAAACAGCCCTTTACATGTAAATTTAAGATTTTAAGCCAGGGGCATCTCCAAGGTAGGCACGACACACTGTCTTTCCACATTTTGTTAGAGAATATTGTTGTATTTTCTTTTGTTATAGCAAGCTTTCAACTACTAATTATATTTCACACTTATATGTACTACTTAGAAATGCCAAATGTTGCATTTCAAACACTGAAGTAGGTATTTCTTCTTGCTTTTGAAGCCCTTCTGCCCAATTACAATGCTGCCTGCACATCAGCTGTCGAAAAATTGAGCTTCCTTATTTATTTTAAATAATGCATGCATTTTGTTTTGATAAGACAAATATTATATCAATTTTAAGATATATTTTCAAAATTTATGCTCAGGAGTTGAGATTCTAACTGGATCATTGTTTTCATGTCCTGCTCAATTATAATCTGAATGCCTTTTAACAGCAAAAAAAAAAATACAAAAAATGTGTCATTTGTCAACCCTAACAAGAAGCATGTTATTTCTTTGTAAGAATCAATCAATGAGAGGCTGTTTTTTTATTTTTTATTTGCAAGTAGGAAAAAGTAATACTTTGCATTGCATAAAATAATCTTAAAGCATACAATACCCAAAAAAATCTATCATGATTTTCTACAGCACTTTGAAATGTGCCTTTGATCATGTAATTGTAAAACAGAAACAAGATGTGACCCCACCCCTTTTGAACTTCTTTCAGTCACAGAGGGTATCAACGAGTATTTCTTGCAGGCGTGTAGCTAGTTTAAACAATACAACACTGACTTTCTTCAACTAATTTAAGAGGGGAAAATAAATATTTCCCAAGTATTTTTGCAATACTTTATTGCTATTATATTATACAGTAACATATGATGTATTAGACCTAACAGTTTCACTGCTAATAACATTACTTTTATTACAAAATTTAACACACTAATTATTTGAATTAGCTCCAATAAATGATAGTGTCACACCCTAATTACCAAGACTTTTTTGTGCTGGTCCCTCCTCCCTTTTTCTCTACACAACTTTTGACTCCCATTATTCTGACAAAAAATTATCAATAAATGCAAAATAAATGACTAGCATATACAGCCGTTTAAGAGAAAAAGCATAATGAATAATTATAAAATAACGATTAAATGTATTATTTGGTAATTTACATCATTTTTAGATTTATAAGAGATATGTTCCAGAAAATGGGCTCTCCTGTTAGATGACCTTTGGCGAATACAAGTAAAATAGGGATTAAGGATAATGCATATGTAAATTAAAATTAATAATTTCAACATATATGTCAATGTAAAGAATCCAGTTATCAATGCAACAAAACAATATGAGTGTCCCTAATCAAGAAAACTAAAATTTTTTGTTTTACAATACAATTTATATACATTTTATCCCCTTTTACTCTGAAATATAATGTACTGTTGCACTCGTCTCAGGAGGGCAATATTATAACAAACACATACAATCTAATAGTTATGACAGTATAATATGGCACTAATGCCATGCTCCACTTCTAAAAAGATTAACAGTAGTTTCAGAACAGCACATATTGTCTTTAACATGTTACTAATAGAGAAAACAAAAAATGCTCAGCATTTGCTACCTGATTTCATTGCCATTTATAGACACCAGAAAAAAGTAAGAGCTGATTACTACATTCATGACATGCACAATGGAAGCGACTTGTGCATAATGCATTCTCTCAAGCATACTTTTTGGCAAAATTTAAAAGACTTCTCCATTTTACATTCACTAGTTGCAGGCAAACTATTTCTAGCTCCTATCCACAGTCACTTTCAATAAAAATATGATCTCTACCATTTGCTCGATGTAAAGGTGCTTCTCTAAAGGAAAAACTGGCTTTCAACAATTACAACTGAAAAGATGTATTTGGGACAAAGTTGGGTTTTCTACAAGCAGCAATCAGATGATATGTGGAATAGGAATAAAGAACTGTCTGGCATAAACAATGAAAACTATTTGCTTACAACAGTTGTCAAAGGAAACTTACAAGATCTTATTCTCAATTCTTTACTGCCTAGAGGCAGAGTTTATTTTAGTTTTACATTAGTCTATCAAGGCCCCTTCTTTCAGCTCCACTGAACCTCTTAAACTTTGCCAATATATACAGTAACATTGGAGGACATGGAATGTAGCCACAGATCTTTACAATTTAAAGCGCGTCATTACTCAGAACAATGATTAATCTAATCAATTTAACAAATGGTTTTTTACCACCACATAAATTAAGACAATCAGATACAAGTTTTAAATATTTACAAGAGTACAATAATTAACTTGATAAATTCCATGCTTAGAAGACCACACAATTTTTAATTCTAATCTTTACAGATCTGTAAGCAATATATGAGATTAACTATCATTATTTTACAAATGTAGCACATCAAATTACAAAATCAAATCTTTTCCAAGAAACTTTGTACACACCTCATTTACCAAAGTTTACTGGACAAGATTGGAGACACACACAATAAACATACTATAATATTCTACTCCACTGGGAATGCAGGTAACATTTGTTTTTCACCTAACAGCTGTTCAAAGCATTTCATACCATCTATATTAGCAGCAGCATTTGATAAGAGACATGTGCACCACTCACAACCAAACTATATATAGAAAAGGATATTAGAAATTAATATATAGATTAAAGCAGCAGTACTTCCCTATTGTACCACACTACATTTCTCTGACAATGACAAAATATATTTTCCTGTGGATTATTCCTTAAATGAACTACAGATGACTAAAGATCACAATCATCACATTTAGATAATGCTTTCCAGGTACTTCAAGCAAATACATAGGTTTATTGCAGGTAGTAATCATTAAAATAAAATTAAAATGAAATGTTTAATACTATGCTAGAGCCCTGAAGAATCACAGCTTTTTATTCAGCATAAAATAAATAAAGAGGGGTATCTTAGTATATCAGTCCAAGAAGAATTTATTTTTATAAATATTCCAGGTAATTTTCTAAAGCCATTGGCCCAGTACTTCCATTAGAAGTGCTGTACTAATGTTCATTTTAAATAATTACTTCTACGTATAATGGCACTTGCTGCTGCATCCCGCGGGTCAAATTGATTTCGATACCTGTACGCAATCACTGCAGCCACCACCTAGAAATGAGTTAAACAATTTCATTTACTTCATAATACATTTCAAAACAAATAGGATACATGCTACAAAGACATTCAACAATGAAAATGTAGATAAGAACCTTATCTATGATGTAAAAAATATTATAAAGAAGATATTCAAATTATGAGCAGGAAAACAATACCGCACTAAGCAATGTTACAAGACCATATAAATTTAACAAAAAACAAAAACAGAACTTATTTTCTATTATCTATAATTATTTATATGACAAGTTATAAATAATTTTAACATCAGAGTCTTCTAGAGCATGCATTAGATTTCAATCTTACTTTTGAATGCTCAAGTGAGGAAAACATTTGGGAGACTGTATCTAACACAATGTTAGTAAACAAACTAAAAAAAAAAAAAATTAGTACATTAACCAACACCAAAGATAACATGCAAAAAATTTCCAATCGTAGTTAATAAGGTGTGAAAGCTCAAAAGATTTGAAGATGTAGATTAGTGCAGAACAGCTCACCCAAATACCAAAGGAAAGTTAGCCAATAGGTTAGAGAAATGCACTGGGGTTAGCTCGAGGATCTTTCTGATTCCGATAGCGAACAGTCAACCAGACACCCAGAAACTGAAAAAGAGAGACATTATTTCTAAAAGGCGAAATTTTAAAAATAGAACTGGTGGTACATTGCTTGCAACAGACCTCAGTGAAACTGAAAAAGAGTCCAATTCCTCCACACAGCTTGAATGCGTAATTAATGGTGTTCTTCAGTTTCTCCATGCATGGAGAACACTTGCAATCTTGTGGAGTTGGACAGCAATTCTACAAAAAGGAAATGAGTGATGAAGTGTAATGAAAAGGTCAATTTATTTAGAACAAATATCTATGTTTATTAATAAATACCTTTGGACAAGAATCACGAAGTAATGCAGATGCTTCAGGGGTGCTGTTTGTAGGAGTAGGAAGTTTATCAAAACCACAGCAGTCAAACATATCCTGGACTTGAATGTGCATGTCCTCAGAAATCTTTCCCCAACCCTACAAATATTGATAAAATAAATTTTAATAATAGAGATATTATTTACTCAAAAATATACTTTTGGGTATTAATTATTTCTTGAGAAGGAATGAATAAAGAAAGGACAGTTCTACAAGTAACATGACAAGTAGTATTTGAACAATATAAACTACAATTAGCACTTACAAAACCAAAAAATTACAAAAATTACCCACCTCTTGAGCCAATGCCCCCTGCTGCTCACTGTTCACAGCAAGACAAGCACAAGCTATGCTAAATTGCACACAGAATAGAAGGAAGAGAATTATCATGTACTAGACACATTAAGGAAAATATTATTCAGTTGTGAACACCTTTCAATTAAAACATGCATACACACACAACCAAATGACCAACTTCATTACCTTACATCCCACAGAATGTATGCAATATAATCAATTATTGATTTGGTCCACACGGCTGTGTTATTTTAATTGTAATATTTTGACTATGAATGGGCCATTACAACACAAAACTTGAAAAAAGTCATAATCACATTGGCTGAAGCATTGTAGAAAGAAAATTTAAGTGTTTTGGTTTTAAAGTCATTGTTTCTTATTAAAGTAGTTTTAAGAAGCATGGCAGATAACATTTTTTTATAACTCTTCTAAATTCATAAACACAATATGTAAAACGATTTAGAGGATACAAAAAACAGAAGAACTTGATGATGTTTAATAGCACCAACCAATCCCAAGATGGAAATAAGAATGAGAAATACTCCACATGCTAAAATTCCTCCAATGGTTGGAAGATTAGCACCTAATGGAGATGTACGGCCATAAACAGCAACTCCAATTAGAATAAAAGCAACCAACTGAAACATATTCATAAAATTCATTAGATGTCAAATAATTTAAGAGAGTGTGTGATGTGACTCAACTGTGATTCAGTTGAATTTCACAGTAAACAAGAAGTTATGTTTACACCTAAATAGCATCTTCAAAACATTTCATTTCTAAATCTTACAAATGTTCCACACAAGCTACATTATATAGGCCGAACTTTAATCAGAGAAACTGAAACATCCCAATATTTTCTAGGATATATTGAGTAGGATTATATGTGTATATATATATATAATATATTATATATATATATAATATATATATTATATATATATATATTATATATATAAATATATAATATTTAAAAACATAGTTTAGGTTTGTATATTATATATATCTAATATATATATATATATATCTATAGTACATACATACATACATACATACATACAAACCTAAACTATGTTTTTTTAAGAGTGCTTCGGCATTATACATATATTTTCACAATAACATTAATGATTGGTTTTGGTCAAGATACAATTTAGAACATTAGTAGAATAAAGGGGTTATTTTTATTATTAACAAGTTATTTTTCACACAATGAAATTTGAACAAGAATATTTATTGGGTAATTAAATATTAAATCCAACAATACATATTAAGAAGTTGTTTCTATTTAATTTAATTACAATTTTCATATTTATTAAAATTAAATTTATTTTCTTACAATAAGAGGGAGATAACTAAACAATCTACTTTGGATGATGTGATGGATAGGACAAATTCTGAAAACACTACAACAAAATCAAAGTTGAATATCAAAGTGAAAATTATATAACTATTTAAATTTATTAAATAACTTTACAACATATTAGTTGAGAGATGTATTTTGAAATTGCTTAAAATGAATTATTAAAACAATGTAGCTGAATTGTAGCATACGTCCATCACTTGTGTTCTCAACAATAATGTCATAATTTTAAAAGGATCTTTAACACACACGTCATATTTCAGCACCAGAAAAAACTAAATAACGTGAATACTTACAATATATAAGATATTAAGGGCTGTTAGTGCATTCTTGGAACAAGTAAATCCTCCACACATCTTGAACACTTTTTCTCCTCACGAATTTGACAAGTTCAAGGGTCAGGGATCGGACGCAGGAAATACTTAAAATCTACCAGCTGCAGCGTACTGCCTGCAACTGCAAAATCAATTATAATTCACTTCAGATGAAGCATTTCTTCACTTGTTTAGTAATTCAAAGACATTGTTTTCAGTTCTAAACAAGGTCATGTGAACAATTAAAATATTCCATGACTTATTTCTGACTCACCAACAAAACACTGCAAACGTCACCTTGATCTTCCCCTCCAACTCAAATCTACAAGTACACCAAAGTACATCGACTGGTTTCCCTGTCTGTTAACCACCCTCGGCAACCCTCAGCTTCACCCGCTACCGCTTCCGCGCAAGTGTTACAGATCCATTCCATAGAATTTTTCTCCCGCAATCTTACCCAAAGAATAAAACTAGTACCTACCTCGCTTTATCTATCCCGTCCACGGATGTTGTCATTGGTTGTCGCTAAACTTCCCTACTTCGCCTAATGAAAGTCATTGCAGATTTGGCATCAGTTTTCGTTTCTATTGTTTTAGACGTTGGAAACGAAATGCTAAGTATTCAATCGATTGTGGGAGTAGTGTCATTGATTTGTTATATAGTAACAACACCACAGCAATGTTCAGAGCAAAGGAAGGATTGGATATAATTTTATGTCGCTTCGCTAGTGACTAATTTACACATGGAGAGTTTGTAGGACTGATGGCAGCATGCACATGGCTTGAGGTTTGCGGTTCGCGCTTTCATGGCTTCTCCTCGTGCCAGCTAATGGCAATTTTAATAGACGCGGGTAATCAAATCTGTTTAAGGTGTGAAATACATTCGTCGGCAGCTACAAATACATGACGATAGTGCTATGCGTGTGCTGGGCGTTTTGTTAAAGGTTATTTCTGTTTCGGAATAATCCTGACCGAAGTTCAGAAAAATCTTCACCATGACACCCGCTATAAAACAAACAGGTGGTATTTTCCCTACTCCTCCTCCTCCTGACAAGGACTGCAGAATTTCCATGCCACAACAATTGGCTTCAGCATGGACAGGAGCGATTTTAACATCAATGATAGGTACTGACATTAAGTACCTGTGTGTTTATCATGTTCACAGGTGTAGATAACCTGTATGTTCTAATAATTTTAGGAGTTCATTATAAATTGTATGATTACAGTTACTCCATTAGATGTGGTAAAAGTTCGTCTCCAAACTCAACAAAAAACTCTGTTATCAAATAAATGTTACCTCTATTGCAATGGACTAATGGACCATTTGTGCCCTTGTGACCCTTGTGTACCTGGTGTGCGATCAGAACCTCAACTTCCAAAATTCACTGGAACAGTGGTAGGTTCTATGGAATGAATACTGATAAAATGTGTTGATCATTGTAATGTTAGAATAAGTTTTGTATTAATATAACACCTATACATTTTAATTAATTTATCCTTGAATGGTAATCCACAAAACAGTATTGTTTTTATATGAACCAATTCTTGGATTCCAGGATGCTTTGTTTAAAATTTCTCGGTCAGAAGGTATTGGATCTTTGTGGAGTGGTTTAGGTCCAACATTAGTTTTAGCTGTTCCATCAACTATGATTTATTTTGTATCTTATGAAAATATCAGACTGTTTTTCAAAGATAAGAATAAAGGAATTCAACCGGTATGGGGGCCTCTAATAGCTGGCATGACTGCCCGTGTTTGGGCGGCTACAGTTGTTAGTCCAATTGAACTTTGTAGAACTAAAATGCAGTCTAAGAGACTAAGTTACAAAGGTAAGACACACTCTTGTGGGAAAATGTGTATCTGAATTATTTAATAGTTGGTAGAAAATGAATTGATTTTATACATGGTAATGTTAATTATAGAGATGCATGAAGCAATCAAAATGCAATTGAAAGATCGTGGTATATGGGGATTATGGCGGGGCGTTGGATCTACCTTATTGAGAGATGTCCCGTTCTCAGGTATGTAGTTACGTTATGCGAAATATTTAAATGCTCATGTATGAGTAATTTATGTAATCATAAAAATATGCAATTATGGATTATTTATACTTTAACATTCAGTTATGTATGATTGTGGTGATGTAAATACAAGGTGTTAAATAATATTGAATGTCTTGCATTTTTGCTTGTAGGGATTTATTGGTTAAGCTATGAGAATTTCAAAAATGCCTTTACAACAGGCCCACCATCATTTCTCTTGAGCTTCCTGGGGGGTGCACTTTCTGGAACAGTAAGTTTAGTGATAATAGAGTTTAATATAATCTACTAAGTTAATTATATTTCATTTATTGATTATGGAAAATGATAATGTTTTGATGAACTTTATAATACATCAAACTAAAAGAGTTTAAAGTGTTACACCGAACATTAAAATAAGGTTTCTTATATATTATGCATGTTGATTTATGTTGGCTGGTTTTGTAAAAATTATCAGGTGTAAGTTTAACTCCTTTTTGTTAAAGAGAAATCATGTTAATTCTTTTAATATTATAGGAAATTAGAAAAAAAATCTATTATCCTGAGCTTTGAATGTGTGATGGACTTACTATATTCTCTGTCAACTACTTTACAACTCAAATGCTTCAACAACTTCCAATGCGTGTGCTTTGGAAATAGGTCCATTTGTTCTCCGCTGACATAAGCAGAATTATTGGAATTGTTCTAATTGGGCATTATGATGAGCTCGCTTTGCTCCAAAGCTATCAACTAATTTTAATATCTGAATCCACTATTAGGGATTGACAAAACTAAATGAATAAGAGATCTGGTTGACAGAGAATTTAATTTTTCCTGTCATTCAGGCAGAGTTCTTTTACATGTCACAAAGGAAACTTGAAATATTGAGGATTTTACCTTTTAGAAAATCCACCGTTTCCAGCTGTTTGCCTTACACTACACTAACACACATAGCGGGAGGCCAGTCGGGAGTTACAGCTTATCTCAATTGGGTTGGTGCCCCCCTGCTGAAAGACTCTGCTTGGGGAACCCATTGAAAGCCAACGGGTAGGTTGGCATTGAATTTTGCCATCCACGGGGAATAATCACAGCCATGTTTCACGATAAATGCTCATGTATGATTAATGGTACACTTGTACACTTATGGGACTAGTGACCTAACTTGCCCAGAATCACTAATCAATCAACTGTATTCATATAAATAAAGTGGACTCCAATTAGTATAAGGAGTGTGCATGAAAGTGCATAAAAATGTAATTAAGATTCTTTGCTATATTCTTTCACGGTTTTAGTTCTTTTCTTGCACCTTTGAATATGATATTGTTCATACAGGGAGCACACACAATCTTCTTTCACTTCTTGGTGATGTGAGGAAGTGCAGATTTTGTGATGAAACCTATGAGGTGCCAGTCATGTGATTGTGTGCCTTAATTCCGGATTTGTTTCCATCCATTTTCTCTTTCCATCATGGCATCTGTTGAATAAAATTCTGGCCATATTTATCTTCTCTACTTTTTTCTTTCTTCTAGTATTTGTATACTTTGCCTGGATGATGATAGCATTAATTGGTATCATAAGTCCTCAATGTAGAATGGTTCTCTGGTAAGTTCATATACTAATCTTGATTGTGTGTTATTTGGAAGACACAAGGAATCTTGCCTTTGTTTTCTCTTCGGACCTTAGATCAGGTATTGATAGTTTCTCCCATATTAATTGTATTCCATATGTTATGATTGGGCTAATGACTTCATGAAATATTTTGATTGCTGATTCTTAAAACAGTTTTTGGATCTTTGTTATTGAGTACACATCTCTAATAGTATTGTTGCTTTTTCTCTGATATGAATTTTGAATGATCTGCCTGTTGTCTGGAGTGTTATTTCTCAGTATCTGTTATATTGAGGTATTTCGTTTTTATTTTCCTCAATTGCTTCTATTTTTCCTCCTTTTTGGCAGATTGTCTGCCCTATCTCCATTATACAAATTATCATACTTCATTATACAAATTGGAATTTCACTTTTTATTCCGTGTATAGGCCAACTCGGACTGTGTGTGCACCCTTCTTCAGTAGGTGCAAGCACCTTTATCTGGGGGTATCAGCATTTCAGCTGAATCCTGATTTTTATTCTCCAGAGTTGTTAGCACTGGATGATGAGATGATGACACTGAGGGATGAAAGGATGGCACACACATATAGATGTACTCAAATACATCCTGCCCATGGTGGGTCTCGAACCCGTGTTCTTCTGGTCCGAGATTGCTATGGCACTACTGGTGTAATGATCTTGGCCATCTCGCTGGCTAGAATTTCACTTTATTTATGAATTTGAATTTATAAATTCAGGTTTTGGAATACAGTGTCCCCTGTAATTCTGGGCCAATCTTATGTTATTCATGATTGAATTGTAAAACCCTTAATTGAAATTGTTATTTTAGGTAGCTGCTACAGTAACTACTCCCTTTGATGTGGTGAAAACTCATCAGCAAATTGAAATTGGAGAGAAGGAAATATATTCAGGTATTGTATCTATAGCGGTATTTAAAGTTTTCGAAAATATTAAATGAGCTAATTAAAACGAAGTTGATTAATTAATGTCTGACCATGTGAGTGATTTTTTATTAAACATTTTAATGATTAATATTTATTTGAAATGCATGTTACAATCAAAATTCTAAAATTGAAAAATTGGAAATAATTATCACTGATGACTGCTATCTAAGTAGCCTTTACCACCACACAATATGCATATCTTATATGAAAAGTTTGTGACAATTTTATGAAGTTATAATTGAGAACTACCTTTATTATTGTCAGTGAATTCTGATTTCACCAAAACATTCATAATCACTTTAGCAACCCTTTTAAGGTCTATGAATGAAACCAATTGTACAGAAATGTGTTTTCAATTTAATACTAAAGTTTTATTTATTAAGTCACATTTCTAATATTTGATTCAGAGCACATCTTTTAAAATTGCAAGAATATAATGCTCTCACATTAAGTAAAGAAGAAATGTTGAAGAAATCCTAAATTTTTATCCTTTTTTCTCTTGTGTTAAGAAACCATGAAATTTTATGAGGTGCTCTCCTAAAATCCCATTTAACTGAGGAGCTATGAGACTAAATTAGTTCTCCAGTGTTAGGAATTTTCTCAGTTCGAAGCAGCACAGCATGATAATTTTCTTCGAGGTAGATTCCAAACCAGATATAATTTGATCTAAATATTTTGGTGAAATAAAATGATATTAAACCATCTATCAGATCAGAACAGCTATTTTTTTGTGAATTTTTGAAGTTACTTCATTTAACAATAATATAGTATTAATCTTGGTGCATACTGTGGCTGTAAGGAACAGACTAATGGTATCTAGGATTTTTTAATAGTTGTTTGTATTGTTTCTTCTAAGAGAATGGAAATTTGTTTTGGTTTTATAGTTTTACCAAAATCCAATTTTAATGATGTTTGTCCATAATTATTCTGGGCTGTACAAATGGCCTTGGCTTCAATAAATAAAAGGCAAGTCTTATGGATATCAAACTATGAATTTTGTAGATAAACTGCTGGTGACCAATAAACACTTGTTATGGCCTTTGGGTCCATGATATTTGTTGTTAAAGCGGATTTTAATTACAAATTAGAATTCTTCTACTAGGATCTAGATTTTAGATTTAATAGGAAAATGATGTGATATTGCAGGTACGCACACTTGAAGTAGTTTAGAGTTTTGCTATCTTCCCCGAGGTTTGAAAATTATTAGTAAATTCTTATGTGATGTAGGTATTGTAAGCAACGCATATTTACCAGTGGTTATTCCTTCCAAAATAAATTTGTTGTATGGTGCTTCATTCAAGGAGAAGTTTGGTGAGCTCACTACTCCTCACAAGCAAAACATGTATTAAAAGGGGTAACTTGTCAATAATGATGGGGTATAATTAAACTCACATTAATAATGAACAAAAAACACAATATTTACAAAATGCGGTGCATATACAATGCATTTTTCTTTCATTTTAAGATTTCTTTTATTATATTTTTCCCTATGAAATTGCTCTGAGAAACATTCTCATTAACAACTCTTAATTTGGTGTGATGGCCCTCTTGTGAAAGGTAGACGACTTTAATGTATTCCTGGGGATGATGATCACTATGGAGTAGTGGGTGATTTATTTAAAATTTAATTTAGGGAGGAGGGCATGGCATGTGAAATTATAAACACAAGTGTAGAAAAGCACATTTATTCATATAAGTGCATCAGTAGAGAGAGGAGGCAGAGAGACTGAAGGAGAAATCATTTGTAGAGAGGAGAGAGAAAGGAGAAGGAACAAGGGATGAGGGAAGTCAAGCTACTCAAATCTGTGTCTCATCATCTCCACCTGCTACCAGTACTGCCCTGGAATGCCATCTTTACTCCTGTAGACTTGTGGCTTATCTCTGAAGGTAGCTGGCTCATGTGTGCTGATATGTACTCATGGCTGGGGGAAGTAGAGAGAGCTCAGCTGGTCTTTGGCGTTTGCTTATATAACTTTGGATATACAGTGTGGAAGGGAAAGCGTGTGCAATGGAGGAAGATGTTCAAAGAGAGATGGTTGGAGAGAAAGCATTGAAGGGAGAAGGAGAAAGCTCTACTTGAAGGGGTGGTTTTGTAGTTTTGGAATTTCTGGGAGATGGTGAAGAATGTTGTATAAAGAAGGCTTTTGCATGTTTCTTGTCACACTAGAGAGGGCTACATGAAATGTGACCAAAGACAAAGTGGGTTCATATAAAAACATATCTGCTTGTTGAAAAATTGGCCCCACCATACAAAATTGTGTGTAGCCAATGAAGTGAAATGTATAGAAGCATACCTGTGCTGCTGTATTTTGTGAATCCCACTGTCCCCAAATGCACCCCATTTACTTATCTCTTAACCCCAAGCTCCAACAACCAAATTACACACCGCGGAAACTACTTGTACTTGAAACCAAATTGTACTGCCTGTGTTGTTCCAGGAGCACCAAATTCTGCTGTTATTTTATTGGTACCCTGTTATTTTTAATTTTTTATTGCTTATGGTGATGTCAGAAAATCGTTTTAACATATCCTTAAATCATCATCAATAATAATAATATTATTAATAATAATAATGTTAATAATAATGTTAATTAATAATATTAATAATCATAATCATAATCATCATTGTCATAATAATAATAATAATAATCATCATCATCATAATATGTAAAAGAAAAACAGGTTTCTATCTTGCTCCGGCAGTTTAAACTTTGATGCAATCAGAAATTATGTTATAGATCCTGAAGAAAATGGATAAATGGATAAGGGTGGAATAATTTCTAGTCACAGACCTTATTTGATTCGTTACTTGGTAGGGCTCAGGGTGGTTCATCTGGTTAGCTACATATTCAATCGTATTGTTCTAAGCATGTGATTATGACCCAAGTTATGATCCCGAGCGTAAAGAAAACTTGCACCACTAATAGTGTGGTTTGAAATATGAAAAAGGAATATTCTGATTTGTGGGTCCAAGAGACAGATACAGATTATCTTAACACATTCTGTAAGGTCTATTTTATATATAATCATCCACAAAGGCATATTTCTGTGTAGAGTAAAATGTGGTTTTAATTGTACGTAAGTCCTCTATACACTTTCTACTGAAAGCAATGCAGGGCTGTCATCTTGAATGGAGATACTCGTAGGATGTCAGATGTCCTGGGAAATGAAATTCTTGTGATGCTGGTGATTCAAATTTGTTACGTGTAAATCTGTCAAGACAGTCTTATCAAGTCTTGGGTATACTCTGTAGTAGACACTTCATAGGCCTGGTGATTGAGTTGGCCTGAGCACAAACTCCTTGTGCAGTGTGTTTGGACAATGCATGGACTGGTGCATTTCAATTTTATTGAAGGAGTGACAAAATTAGATGAATTCAATTTTGGTCAATTTTCTTGTACAAACAGGAGTTGTTCAAGTGTGACCTGATTGATGTGGTTGTAATCACACCACCATTCTTCTGCCCAGGGATCTCTCTGAAAGAGTACCTCTATTATAGGACCACCCCTCTCAATGTCTTGATTTTTCTTGTAACAGATACTGAAACCCATACAAACTCAATCCCCTTTTAAAAGACCTACTCTCACTTTTACCCACTCTCTCCGGCCACCGACCAGACCTTGTAGAGCAATTCTCTTAATTTACCCTTTTTAAGAGACCACTTCACGAAAATTGTAAGTATGGCGTACATCAAATTTATCGAATTTTCATTCATTAAAATAAAAAGTGGTGATAAACATTCACAATATATGCCCCATACCTCAGTTTTGTTATCGAGGAAATCAAAGAGAGGATGGATTCTTAGAATCAAGTAGCAATAAACCAAGGCCTTGAATATGGAATCTTGGCTACTTGCTCTATTTCAGTTTATTTTCTTCTAATGAGGCAATGGATGTGAAAATGATGTAACATATAATGCTGTGAATTAACCGAGTGTTTCTTACGTTACCTTTGTGGAAGAATATCTGGTATAATAGAATATCAATGTTAGAAGTCAGGGTTATAAACTTGTCCCGTAACATGGGAATGTTTGGTATGCGAGTGAAATCTAAGTCCAGTGCTCACATAAGACACATTGATGTTTTTTTTTTTTTTTTGTTTGTGTGAAGAAGTGTAAGGAAAGCAAGGTTTTGAGCTCCTAAGAGATAGATTGTGACATGTGTGATCAAACAACATATTGATTGTGCAGAAAATTTAGGTTTGTTGCCAGTAGAGTAATAAATTGCCATTGGGAGTAATTAAACTGAAAATGATTTTAAGATTTATTTTTACTCAAGAGAAGGATGTATAAATATTTTTAAATGCATTTAAAACTATAGTAAATAATTTTAAAAGGAATAGAAATAAAACTTTGCCAAAATGTTTCATTTTCCACAATTCGTGCTCCTACTCTAAAAACCTTCCCTAACTGTCCAATATAATAGGCACCTTCCTAAATATCAGTTTCCGCCATTAATCTACCACTCATCTAAAAGACCAGTGTTATCATGGAACAAACAGTGGTCACTTAATACCTTTGCTATACAGTAGCAAGTGGGTATTTTGGTTTTTAAATAATATTGGTGAATAAGATTTTTTAAATTTAGTTCTTTTAAAATACTGATTTTCATTGTTTGAACAGTCAATTCATTCAGTAGTTCAAAGTACATAGGGCCAACGATTATTCCTTCCCTCGCATTTCTTCTTTCGATATATCATGTTCATACAATTGTTACTGTAAACCTTCATTTTCGTTTATATTATTTATTAACGGGGGGGGGGGGGATGAAGTCCAGTCATCACTAGACCTATTTAGTGCTTTTCTGATGCAACAAACATTGGTCCCAACTGTTTAAAACCTGGCCAAAGTATCAAGATTCAGCTTGATTTGCTTGCAATTTTATCGATTTGACTGTGCAAAACTGTCATACTTCACCCATGATTATTATTAAAGTATCAAATGGGTAACACATTGCAAAGTTGCAAAACATTTTGCATTTTTATGAAAGGTTTTTGTACTTGTGTTGTCTTTGTATTTGTGGGTTTGTTGCAATAAAATTGGAGTTATGCAAATGTAGTTTGTATTTTATTGTCGGTTTATTTTGTACTTGTTGCTTTTTGTACTTGTTTGTATAAGTTTGTTGTAATTAAATTTGAGTTTGCAATGAATAATTCGATACTTCAAATTATAAGTTTTGTTATTTTATTTAAAATAATAAGAACAACGTTAAAATATTAAAATTCTTTTTTACAGGTTTTCAATTTGCTTTTTTTTAAATTAGTTTTTTAAACCTGATTAGTGTTTTTGGGACTGTTAAAATTTAGAGCATATTGTTGCTATTATACCCCCTAATATAAGTAGAGCCTAGAATCTTGGAAAAACATCTTTGCATTATATTTATAATTTTAAAGCTTTTATCAATAGAAATCATTTAATTGTGGACCTGGAAGTATGTGAGATTTTCATTTTGCTATTTTGTTTGGTTGTGTATTTTAGCTTTCAATGCGTCAGCCTGAGAGACTGACATATCGCTTTTTTCTGATGGCTGTTTATATATGATCCTGGTAATTGTGAGAAACTTTCTGGGAGCGTCATTTTAGAAATGCGGGTTTTCCGGGCAGGTGTCAACATCTGTTTCCAATCTAAGTGTGAACTTTTCTTGTCTGTTCAGCTTTGCAGCGTGACGATGAAATATTTTATATTTTTGGTTATGATGAAGTACTGGATAATAATTTATATTATTTATATTGACTTATTGTACAACCTTAAATATCAACACCTGCCCCTTGGCCTTACTACTACTGACAGATGATTTTAATTTGTCCTGAGTGGATTGGCATAACATCTTATCAGATTATACAGTGATCTGTAAGTCCTGAGAAATTTCTTCTGGTTCTGCAGCTCCACCTATTGTTTATGTTGCAATTTATTTGGGTGCCCATCAGTTAAATCATGTTTTGAATGAGCATGGCCCCTTATTTATTCTTATCAAAAGCCCTGGATCAATTGATTGGATATATTTGATTCAATCTTTTTATCAACTTGGTTTCTGACCAGCAAGATCCACCAGTAGTAATCTTATTATTCTTTGTCATTTCATTGCCAAAGCTCTTGATGATGGAGGTCAGGTTGACATGATCTATACCAATTTCAAAATGTCTTTGACTGTGTAAATCACGAAATTCTAAAGAAATTTGCAAGACATGTCATTGGCAAACCTATGTTATCCTAGTTATGAACTTACCTCAAGGGCAGGAAACTACTTGTCTCGGGGTGCGCATTTATTGGATGCTCCATCTGGTGTTCCTCAGTGATCTCTTCTATGGTTCTTATTGTGCTGTGGGTTATAACTTTCAGTAATGAATTACTATATGTTGATGATGCCAAAATATATTTGAATATTCAAAATACGGAGGATGTTGATAAGCTACAACTTGACTTGCTACAAGGAAATGTCAAACCGTTCGATATACTTGCACCAAAAATGGAAAATCTCTCAAAGTTGTGGGCATCGTTGTCTACCTTGGGGTCACATTTGACTCCTGCTTTCACTTTATGATTATGATGACATTTATTCTTTGGTGAAGAAACCAAAATTGACAGGAAATTATGTTATGGTATGGTTTTATTCTAAGCCTTAATTACTGGAACCATCCACTCTCCTGATATTTTATCAGAGCTCTGTTTTTATGATCAGCATTGCAGAAGCCAAAACTTCTTGCCATTTCCCCCACCATACTGCAGAACCGATATCCTTTTATATCTGATTCTGATATCCTATACCTCAAATTGTTGTAGAAAATGTATATTATCAATAATAAATTGCTCTGTTAATCACAAATTTTAAAAGTGCTCATTCAAATCCCTGTAAAGGTCATACAAGTCTCTTATCAATCTTCATAAGGTTTAGATACTCAAGTATAAACCTAATAACATTCTTTAACGAATTATTACAAACAATCATAACAATCATTAAAAATGTTTAAAGATTGAATTATGTCACAAATAATAGGAAAAAGGGCATATCAGATGAAATAAATAACATACTGTTTTTAAAAAGTATTTTTGGTTTTATTGTTAATACCTAATCCTATGAATAAGTATGTTTAAATTCAGATATATGCCAAAAAATAAAAATTTTAAAATTCATATAGAGGAGTACCATAAGTGGTATAGGGCATCAACTAATGTCTCTGGAATGCCTCTGATCAGGAGGTCCTAGAGTCCAAGTCCTGACTGTAGTAGGATTTTCGACTCAACTAGATAGAAAGGTCGAATTCAGCTGTTATCTGGTGGAGAATTCTAGCAGCTGACTGCTTTGAACAGTAGTTTTCTTTGGGTTCTCAGATTAACATGTCAGAGCAGAACTGTAGTAAGAGGGACACAAACCACATACCATCTTCTTGTCATCTACCTTGTCTCTTGTTACTTACACATTCACACTTACACGCACTATACTACCGCACATGTTGGGAGCCCAGAGCTTTCCGGGGGCGATGCCCTGCTGGCTGAGATAAGCGGTTGGGGAAAACAGATAGCTGATGGGTATGTTGATGCTGGAACTCACAATTCCAGCAGGGGATGATTACCGCTACCTCATGTGATAATAACAAGCACTACACTTACGGGACCAATGACCACAGCAGTTGATGTGCCTGGAAACACAAAAGAATCATTCAGTGATTCCAATTGGTCATGCGACAGAAGAATAGTTAACCTACAAATAGTATTTCATTCTATAATATTGTGGAGCACTCATGATGAGAAAATTGATTAAATCCTAAATACCAAGCAGATGGCTAGCCCCAAGTAGAAATAACCATTCACTCTACCCACACTCCTACCCTGATTCTAACGTTCAATCTCCTATCTCTCCCAGAAAAGTTCAGATGCGGATTCACAGAATCATCGCAATGTGTGCCGAACTCTTTGCACTGTTTTAAATGTGGAAGGTTCAGCCATATGCAACAAAGATGCAGGACAGAAAGCCAGGTAAGGACAAATTGTGGCAAATGAATGCATGAAGGAGGACCCTTTGCACCACTGCGATGTGTGAACTGTGAAGGAGTCCATGTGGCCAACACTGAACAAGTGCCCTGCCTTTTTGAAAGGGAAAGAGATTTAAGAGATCTGAGTCACTGAGAAACCCCTGTAGATCTCTCTTGGACATTCTTTAGTGCCATGATCAAGATGGTTAGAGCAACAGCTAGTTGCAAGACTTCACGTGCAGTGCCCTTAGTGGCACACTTCTGTTTGCTGAGACCTTTTGTCTCCGGTGGACTTTCCTGAGAAAACATCATTCTTGCAAAGTGAGGAAAATAATAATTTCTGCGAAATATAAAAAGCAGAAGATAAAAAGAGTTCCACTTCCACTCAGCCCCATACGAAGGTCCATGACCGTCAGCTATCCACATCTGAATCTCTTCCTACTGACCGATCTTGCATGCCCCGATCACCTAATCTTTCGAGATATGCTTTGAGCAATCACTCAGCGGATCAAGCAGTGCCCAGGAGGACTCGGCTTTGGAGAAACTTCAAGTGGGATGGAACCCGCCTCTTCGGGGAACAAGACTCGGAAATGTATGAAGAAAGAGAACAAAACTTAATATCTACATGCAGTGCGGCTCTCCTATCTTGGAAATTATATGATGTCTGCTCTCGAAGAGATGAACAAAGTATCTTGTTATCCTATCCTTTCATGGTATTACCTGTGTAGGGTTGATGTTGATGAGGGCCTCCATGCTCACGGCAGAGTTTGCTACAATGATTCACCATTTGCTGCTTACAAAGGTGTTTTTTTAGACTGATTGTAGGTAGGTGTAGGTCCCTTTTGCCACACCTGCTATATGTAATACTATTATCCTTCCAGGACAAATAACGTCGGCCAATGGCTTCTTGGGCATAATAAACCAACTGCACACATCCTTCCTGATTATTGGAATATAAACACCCACATCCTGCTTTTGGGCTCTTCTTGTATTTGTCTGAGGGGTGTCATTTTGGCCACCACTAATCTGATTACTCTTAATAAAGGTGAACACATTTCTCCTTTGTGAGAATCTATTGATCTAGTGTTTTTTGACCCATCACTAGCAACCACTGGACCATATTAAAACACCTGCAAGTGACCACTTTCCCACCGTCATCCACTCTGAAAAGGGTTTGCTTGACCCTCTCCTTGAATCATGCAGACAGGTCGACATTTCAAGATAATGAGGACCTCTCAGATAGTCCTTTTGACGAGTAGGGTGGAATGGTTGCACATCTCAATAATTCTATACTCCCAGCTGCTTCCATTGCCACCAAAATCAAATGGTAAACCGTATTACTCCTTTGTTCCCTGGTGGAATTTGAATTGTTTTATAGTGGTCAGTTCTAGTTAAAAGGAACTGGCATGATTTGTGCGTTTTCCAATTGTGGAAAACATAATCAAACACCAAAAATGCGGAGTGAAGGCGAGAAGAACCACTTCAGTTAGAAAGCAAACTTGCAGAGCTTACTCAGGTCTCACCCCTCAGTTGCCATCAGAGCTCTCATCTCACCTCTCAGTTGCCACATTACTATGTCTGGCATGAAGGAAGATACCCGAAACTAAAGGACACTCGTTAGAAAAATATGGAGACAAGTGCTCGCAAGAAAGGAGAAATGATTACATCTCAAGATGCGATTGTTGAGGATTTTGCCGCTCATTGCAAAAAAATGTCTAGTTTGGTGAACTACAGTATAGAGACACAGTACAGATATATTTTGGTTAGAGGAAGAATGGAGATTGTTTTTTTGATTTTTCAGTCCGAGCAACAACATCCCTTTCTTGTCAGAAACGCTTTCTGCTGTCGCCAAAAGAACTGCTCAAGGTCCTGATGAAATTCACAGCCTAATACTAAGTCTTTCTAATGTAGCCATGGAATTTCTCATCTGGCTTCATAATTGCATCTGGGAAGAGGATGCTATCCCTGCTATATGGTGCAAAGCTATTGTTATACCATCTTTAAAAGAAGGAAAGAGATTGGTTGTTTTCTTTGAACTACTTTCCTATATCTCTTACCAGCTGTGTTTGCAAAGTTCTGGAATGCATCGTAAATCAAAATTTGGACTGGTCCTTAGAATGCAGGATTCTGTTCACCCCAATCCAGTTCAGATACAGAAAACAGTAGTCAACTCTGGACCTTCTCATTGTTTTGACCTCAGAAAACTCTACCTCTTTCATCTTTAGGGAACGCCTTGTGTCCTTTTTGTATACAAATGGCCTATGACACTACTAGGAGGTATGGCATTCTGTGAACATTGAACTCTTGGGGATTGAGACTCCTCCTCTTTTTCAAATACTTCCGAGAACTTGTAAAGGCCTCACTATTTGTGGATGACTTGCAATCTTTTGTTCATTCAGCGGCATCAGTGTCACCCCAAAGCAATACCAACTGATCTTTAATAATCTACACAATTGGAGTATCTCTTGTGGCTTCAACTGTTCCACTACGAAAACTATTGGTGTACACTTCTGCAAGAAATAGCACTTGTGCATAGCAATCCAGTTCTCTACCTTGGAGGCTATCAGCTCCCATTTGCTGAATATGCCAAGTTCCTCGGGCTGCTTTCTTATTAGAAACTTTTACTTGGTGTGCTCACATCTGTAGTCTGTAAACCAGATGTGTCTCCTCCTCAAATTTCCTACGTATCGGCTCAGTTCTGGATTATGGTTCAGTATTGAATATCAGTGGATCAACGGCTTTTTAACAGTGTCCATCATTGAGGTACATAGAGGCATAGAGGTAGATACTGTACTTAGCAGGATTGACTGCCTTCTAGCTGATGCTGGTGAGCCATTCATAAAACGAATAAGGGAAACACTATTTGGGTCTTTAACTTTGTAGTTGATTAAGGTAATTTGTTGCCTATTAAAAAATTATTTATTAGATGTACACAATGTTTTTAGAGTTTTGTTTATATAATTCAAATGATATATGAATTCAGATTCAAATAGAAATAGTGTTGCAGAGATTCTTTCTCTTAAAATATTTTTTTCTTATTTTCTCATTTCCTTTACTTTTGGTTCATTTTTATGTAGTTTTATACTAATTGAAGCATTCTTAAATTGACTACTGCAGGCAAAAATAGCAAGATGACTTTTGCAAGGCTATTTGGATTTGGAACACTTCTTACAGGTATGATATATATTGATTCATAAATATTTTAAAAGTATTCTCAGTTTAAAAATATTTTCTTTGAATATCTCTGAAATTCTTCTTAGAAGAGGGTCTTTGTGAAAAAATTGTGTTGTACCCGTTAAATACAAGTATGAAGTTTCTTCACGAGATTGACTTTTCTTTTTTATGCTTTAAATGTGCTGGAGAAGAAATGCATTGTTGAAGTGGCTTGTTTTTATTGACAATAGGAACTTCTATTCCCTCATTTTAGATTCCTGTTTTGTTGTTTTATGAGGAACTTTGTTTTGAACCTATCTTGGTCCTGAAATTTCCTACTTTGTTTCTTTGCAATCAGTCTTTTTACACCCTCTTTGAAACCCAATTATTTGCTTAACTAGTATCCTTTTTTTCTGAAATTTAGGGAAAGGTGAAATTATACTAGATATTTAATAATGCTTTATTTTGTTCATTAGTGTAGCTTTATTTCTCAAATTAGTGTATTATCATTTCTCAAATTATTGTCAATTAAAAAATTCAATGTCTAGTGATATTCTTTTATATCTAGAATGTTGTTTCAATTAAAATATATAAAGGGCTTGGGTACGAACAAGATGAGCCATACTAACCATAGCAAGTCTGCCCCCATTTGTAAATGTTAATATTTCGATTTTAGTCAAAATGTGTCTCATCTGTTAGTGTTCCAAGTCCTTAATAAATTGTAAGAAGGCATTAAAATACAAGTATAGTAACAAGATAAGCCACATTTTTACCAAAATCAACACATTAACCTTTATGACTAGAGGGAGGCTTGATGCTGTTTATCTTGTTACTGACCAAGCTCTTTGTATTTGAAACAGACTAAATTAATTGTAATTCCATTTCTTAAATTACATTTTTTACTAGTTAGAAAGGCATCTCAGGTGTCCCTAGCAAAATTTTATAAACAAAATATTAAGTTGATATACATTTTTTTTTGAAAATATTGAAGTGTTTCAATGGCATCCCAAAGAGGTAAGGAGTGGAAAGCACTTAATAATTTCAGTTAGAAAATAATTAATTTGAATATATGCTTGTAAACATTACCTCTAATGGTTGATCAGTGATGAAATTAGGTAAGGGTGGTTTTCTCAAATCGTTATTTTCAAAAATCACGAAAATCACTAATATCAGAACTACATGTAACAATTTGTTTCAGTTGTTTGGAGGCAGAGTGAGAGGAATATAAACTCCTGTGGAAGTGAGTTTAGTAAATGGTGTAAATGTATAGGAATAGTTGACCGGAGTAGATTCACTGTATACTATTTCTCTCCATTTTCAAAGTAGTTTTGTTCAAAATTTGAGTTTTTATTCTTTATGAATCAATTTGTATCACAACTAAAAAGCCCTGCTGTCAAAAGGGTTCATGACCATTTGCTTCTCTTTCTCAATGTGTTTACAACCAAAATGGGATGCCTGGAGAGTCTTTCTTGCAAGTAATGATTTTACTTCACTATGTGAAGAGTGAGATGTACAAATAGTGATATGATTAATTTTAGAATCTTATTGTCTTTCAGTGTATTGCAAGTTCATTGATACATGACTAATATGAATGTTGATCAGTGTTTTTTTAATGATATACTTTACATATGAAATTTGTAAACGAATTAGTGTTTCATCATTTTTGGCTGAAGTATCTGTTCCAATTTAATAAAAAGTACGAAGAATAAAATATTTATTTTTTTGTCAGTTTATAAAATTGTGTGGAATTTCAGTTCCAGTACTTCAATACCAGTACGGTGAATATAATGTTAAAACACGTTTTCATATTTCCTTCATATTATGTAGTCATTGGTATTATTACTGGCAGGGCGGCCACGTTCTGGAAAACTAGGCAATCTGGGAAAAATTAGGAAATTTCATTGCTCTGGAATAATTGGGGAATTTGTAGAAGAATTGTTAGGATCAAGGGAAAATTGTGAGATGGTTTTATAACTAGGTATTATTCCATAATAAAATTAATCCAGAAAAAAATAGTGTCTCTGTATTTATTTGTTAAGAATTTTTTAAAATTGGTATTTACTTTCACAGTGTAACTACAAAACTGATGAATCAGTAATGATTTGCTTTAATATTTTTTAAATAGTGTGGAATACTCTTTAAATCTTATCTGTGTGTGTGGGG